CTCCTCCTCTTCCTCCTCCTCCTCTTCTTCTTCTTCTTCTTCTTCTTCTTCTTCTTCTTCTTGGCTTAACCTTTCTGATTTGCTTATTTTTGATGATATTGACAATTTGGAGGGATTCTGGTCAGGCACTTTGTAGGATTCCCTCTGTTGGCATTTGTCTGATATTTTTCTCATGGTTAGACTGGAATTAGGGGTTGGGAGAAGAAGATCTCGGCGCTAAAGCCATTCTCATTATGAGGAGAACAGACACTGTCTCCATGAGCTTTGACTATTGGTGTTGACCCAGATCGCCTGGCTGGGGTAGTGCTGGCCAAGTTATGCCTGTCCCTCTAATTTCCGTACTGTAGTCTTCAGAAGAAAGTCACTGCACAAAGAGTACCCAAGGAGTGAGGACTCACACTCCCTTGCATGTAAATACTTGGATTTCTGTGTGGGAGATCTGTCTCTTCTCTAGGGACTGACTTTCTTAAAGTGAGTTACTTCTTTTTTAAGGGTTCTTGCTTTCCAACTTGTTGGACTGGGGTCTCTGTGGTCATCTCTGCCACTATGCTGCTCAGAGTACTCCAGGCTAGCTGGCCTGGGAGCTTCTGGATGACTCTCCTGTCTCTGCCTCCCATCTCTCTGTAGGAGTCCTGGGATTACAGATGTGCACTACTACATCTGGCTTTTCACATGGGTTTTAGGGATAGAACTTGTGCAGCAAGTGTTTTTACCTGCTGAGCCATCTCCTTAACCCCAAATGAGTTATTTCTTAAGAGAAAATAAAATTTACCTTTCTAGTTGTCTGAGTGAATTGCAAAGCCAGTAGACTAGAAATTTGGAAAATCAAGTTTTAGTTTGATTAAAAAAAATACCACCTCTGGAAAGTCATTAATCATTTCTCCCAAAAGAAAACAACTAGTGCAGGCGTTGTTGAGGTCACGTGGATTCATGGTAAGGAGAGAAACATTATTTTATGCCTTATTACCATAAGAAGCTTGGGGCAGCAATACAAAAGATTAAACTTTATTTTACCAGAATGGGATAAAATGTGTCAGGAAGATATCTGTTAATCCATTCTCCTATTCACCTAGGAGAAAGGGTTGGGGAAAAGCATGTCAGTCCCAGGCTTCTTCTACCATGACTGCCTCTGGCAGCCACACCTACAATGTTGGACACATTGGCCAATGTGCTGATATAACAGTATGTCTCTTTTCCTTTAGGGATTTGAAGGTTTGGTTTCTGAGTTCATATATTTTAATTGCTCTTGAACCTTACAATGTGACCTTAGCCAGGTTCCTTCTTCTCTCTGGGCCTCAGAGTCCAAATCTGTAAAAGTAAAGGCCCCGATATAAGTTGTTCAGTTCTACTCTCTGAAGCTGTTCTATAGGGATGACTGTTGATGGTGCATTTGAATCACTTCTGTTATTTTCCTTTAAAAAAAAAGAGTAAGCAACCCCAAACAAAAGAAAGGGAGAATGAGAGGTGCAGGAGGAACTGTCAGAAGTCTCTGTTTAACAGGAAGTCAGTTCTTGGCAACCTTTCCATAGCTAGCACACCGTTCAGAGCATCGTTTAAAAGATGCTATTCTTGGGCTCGGTGTGTGTGAATGTAAATAAGCGCTAAGTGCAGAACTTGAGGGCTAACCACACAGCAGAAACACAAGTGGAACAAGGGAACAAGTCCCAAAGCAGAACCCTGCTGGTCTGTGCCACAAGCTTGGACTACTTTGAGTCTTCACAGAAACCAGATTTTCACAGCGTACCCCACCACTCTACCTCCCTCTGGGGGATATGGAGATGTGGACTATGGCATCATCTGAGGAAGGTAGTTTTCTCTTTTAGACAACAAACTTGACTTTTGGGTATTCTCTGTCAGGCAACTTTACTTAGGAGCCCTAATCATTGGCTGTTGTTGGTGACATTTCTAAGTGAGAACTTTCATTCTTCAAGCATCTATTTAAGTTGGAGTACAGCCACATCCTTCATTTACAGTTGGGAAAGCCAATGCCCAGAATGATAAGGTGGCTTTTCTCAAGTCCCACGGTTCCACAGCTCTTTTGGTTGGTGGCAGAGTAAGAAGCTGAGCAGTGCCTGTCCCCGCATGGTTCAGTCAATACCGATGAGTAGACTCCACCACCATCCCTGTGTGCTTGTAGGTTTTATTTTTCCTTTCCTCATTTTTAGTCTTTAGAAATGATTCCTGACCATTTTCCAGTGTCGTGGTTTATCAACCACCTGGTCCGTTCCTGCCAGTCTTTGAACTTGGCAGAAGGAATTTGAAGCCCAATTCTCCACAATCCCATTTCAGATAATTCCCATTGACTCCAAATTTCAGAGGTCACAAATTGCTTGTGTGCTGGTCATACGGCTCATGTTTCGGCAGGAGGCTCACAGTTGGCGTCTCCATTGACACAGCTAAACAAAGTCTAACCCTGGATAGTTGCATGCCTGCAGCCTTTTCTAAACGTGGTGTACTCTTGATGCAGTAAACGAAGTCAGGTGAACTTTCCCCTGAACCTTAAAGAAGCCCAGGCCACTGCCCACATTCCACAACTCAGCGAGTACAATTCTAAATTATTTATGTGATTTGATACACATCCCTCTGAGATTGAAGGACCTAGTCTCAAGATGAATTTCAAGGCATCTTCAAATCCAAGATTCTGTGTTCCTACTTGAAATGTTCTCTAGTTCAGTGATGGTATGACAGTAATGCTTTGGTTGTGGTTGATTAGTTCTCTAGGGTTTCATCTGGATCTACAATCCCCTGCTCCTGGAATTTGGACTCCAGCACAGATTGTCCTGGCAATCTACAGGCTCCTGTCCACCATGGGACTATATGTGTTTTTTTTGGTTTCCAGTGTCCACAGTGGAGAAACTGACTAATGTCTTGTGTGATGATGGATCACTGAGCTGCTGTCCTCAGAAAACAGCAGAACTCTGTGCTGTTTCCTCGTTTTGTGTCTTGCTACGGACAGACATTACTGTAGACTTGCCATGCTGAGACTGAGCTAAGCTTTTCTGTCCTCACTCACCTAGGTTCTGATGTGACTTAGTATTTTCCAACTGAGTATTTCAAAGGAGAAAGCCATTGTGTCTCCCATGAAACTTAGATCTCCCAGAACACTTCCCCCACCCCCAACATTTCTGGTGAGCACTTCAAATAAAAACACAGAATCTTAGCATTTGAAGAAGCCTTAAGATTCACCTATTCTATTACCAGCTGGTCATACACATGGGTCTGACTTTTTCAGACTTCTCTAGTGGCAGAAAACACCTTACTTTCAAAGGGAACTCATCCCATTTTGGGAAACATTGATTACAGTTGTTTCCTTCACCCTTGAGAAATTTATTCCAAGATCACTGTATACTTGGTACCGTAACAGCATAGAACCCCATGTGTGTTGTTTTCCTATATATTCATACCTGTAATAAAAATTCATAACTCAGCCATAGTGATTAATAACAATAACTAACGATGAAAAAGAACAATTATAATATACTATAATGAAATTGTTGCCATAAAGCACAGCTCTTGCTCCAAAGAGAATAAGAGATAGTTTATCAAATGTGAGTTAACATGGCCCAGGCACATGAATTCAGGTTGCCCCAAATAATGTGTTTCACTCTGAAAGTGATTACATGAACTTCGTATAGAACAAAAGAAAATCATAAGTTAAGGCATTTACCAAATACATTGTTGGAGACATCAGATAAGTGGGTTACAGAAAACTGAGGAAATCTCTGCTTCAGATTTTAAGTGCTATCTAATGACATTGTAAGCTCTGCAGTTGATAAAAATTAGTAGTCTGATAAGTTAATAACATCCAAAGGTTTCACCTGACAGTCAAAAGGATGCTAGGTCAGATATGGATGATAAGTGGTTATTAAGGGGGTTAAAGACAACCTGAGATAATTTTGGCTCCTGATCTGTAACATTTCCAATGATCTGCAATCACAAGTTTTCATCAATCAGTCTGTAGAATCTCAACATTGGACTTTTTCAGGGAACGTCATTCATGATGTATAAATGTGTTTTCTCTCTCTCTCAAAATACATTATTATGCTTTTACTTTTCATTCAAAAGAGACTCTTCATGGTTCATTTTGGCATATCTGAATTGCCATTGCTACCTTACACTGTAGTGCCATTATTAAATAAGAATTACTTGAATACAAGCGGGGGGAGGGAGGTGCCACAACTGTGGATCTCATACACGGACTGCTTCATGTCCTGGGTAGGGAGAGCTGGACCATGTGAGATTCCATCGTGTTGCTTAGAGAGGTATGCCATTTAAAATCTGTGAAACACATGAATTGCTTATTTCTGGAATTTTCCATTTAATGTTTCTTGTAGGCAGTGATTGACTGTGGGTGATGGAAACCATGGGAAATAAAACTATGGATAAGGGGGCACTGCGGTGCTCAGGAATGTTGAGCTGAATGCTTTCTTGTACTTTCTATATAGTGGGTCTAATTCTCCTTCTTGGAACCATAGAAGAGACATACCTACAGCATGTTTACTTTGTGTGCATCTTTAAGTCTCGCATTCAAGGCACTGTGAAATTCCCTCCCATCTCCTGCCTTCGCCTCTCTTCCCTTCCTCAAGTCAAACATTGCCAGTCCTCTGGAGCGGTCCTCGCTATCGGTGCTGCTCCGTTTGCGGTACTTACCCACTTGTTCTTGTTTAACAAGTCCGCTTTACTGTTTAAGAAATGTTCTCATCAAAATTTTCTCATCCATCATGGTTTTATTTATTCAGTTAAAAACATTCCTTGCCTGTCATTTCCATCAAGAACCATAACACTGAATGAAATGCAGTTCAATAAGGAGGTGGAGAGATGAAGAAGCTGTGATCATTGAACTAGACATGGTGGTGTACGCATGTAATCCCAGCACTCCAGAGGTTGAGGCAAGAGGATTGTGAGTTGGAAGCCAGCCCAGAGCTAGGCTGATAGAAAGATGCTGTATCAAAACAAAAAGAAAGGGGAATAAAGGTCAACATAACAGCCATGCCTAGAGCAGTGGGGACCCAAGAGGGGAATGATTGGGAATTCAATACTGTATCACAGAGCAAATGCTAAGAACAAGGTAGGAGTTCAGGGGAAGAAGAAGAGGGTTAGGGTACCCCAATGTGCTGTGTACCCAGAAATCTATCAGAATACTCTGCCCTGGAGGGGGTGCGGGGTAGCCTGAGAGCAGGCTGTAGGAGAGGGATAGAGATGCAAACTGCTTGGGACCTTGCACACTCTCAGGGTCCCACCACGTTCAACCAGCATGTACCAAGCACAGAAGCCATTTAGTCAAATCTGTAAGCTGAACTAAGAATAGGTTGTTTCAACTGATGAGCTGTGATTTTAATTTGAGGGTACCGTGTAAATGAGGCACAGTCTTCCTCATTAACGGTTTATGGGACCAGTGGAGGTTGACACATCAGGAAGGTTTTGCATATTTCAGAAGGGCTGGTGGGTCTGTTTTTGAAATCCACAGCTGAGTGCTCCCCACAGAAACAGCAGCTACAGAGGGTAAGAACTCAGGGTACTCCCCTCATGTTCCCCTTGTTCTCTTCTGTGTGTGCCGAGAAGGAAGCTCAAGGATGGCACACGTCTGCCTGCTCGGTGCAGGGGCCTCCGTTCTGAGCCTCCACGGGGCCCTGGATCTTCTTTATAAGCAGTGAAGTGGCACAGGCCAGCTCTGATACTTTCTTTGGATGTGCCTTCTCTCTCCCTTGAAGATGGCCCATGCTTCAAGACTGCATATAATCAACTCCCAGTAAAGTGTCCTCCTGTTGAAGCAGAGTGAGGTGTGGTGAAAGTCCAGAGGGACTGAATTACTGAGCCTCTCCTTCCCTGCTCAGTAGCCAGCAAAGAAACTCCAACCCTATCTTAAAGTTATCTTAAAGATCTCAGGCAATATCAATTTAAACCTTCCTAGATGCAAGCGTGATGGAAAATCAAAGAGCACATGGTGGTCTTTGTCATAAGCAAGTGGACGAGTGGTGTGCGAGGCATTGTGAGGGATTCAGGGAGAGTGAGGCTTGCTGCTCTTTTAGATATTGGAATCTAGTGGCAGATACAGAACACAAACAGATTTATGTATGGTTGGTTTTTATTTTTTTAAATATTTTATTTATTATTGTTATTTTATGTATATGAGCGTATTGCCTGCATGCGTATAAGTGCACTCATGTCATGCAATGCCTGTGGAGGTCAGAAAAGGGTGTCAATCCCCTGGAACTGGAGTTATGGATGGTTGTTAGCCACCATGTGGGTACTGGGAATCAAACCCAGGTCCCCTGCAAGAGCAGTCAATGCTCTTAACTTCTGAGCCATTTCTCCAGATTCTTGTTTTTATTTTTTAACGAGTTAAGATCTAAGTACATAGCCAGGCAGTCCTGGAATTTGCGATCTTCTTGCCTAAGTCCCTCAGATGCTGGGATTGCTACTCAGCCTGGTCGTTGTTTCGTATTTTTAATATCTGAGTCTTTCCTCTTTGTTCTTTGCCCTTTCAGGCTGGTTTTCCTCAGCAAACCAAAGGAGCAGTTGACATAGTAGGAAATGGCAGAAATGGAGGCTTTGGTGGGTCTGGAGCCATACTCAGGTAACATCCCTGGGAGGATTTCTTCTCTGACAGGCCGTGACTGCTGTTTGTTCAGAGGCTGAGACCATAAACATACTCACCATTCTTCGTTTTGTGGGATGCTGATTTCTCACAAGTTTTAATAGCAAATGGACATATCTTTTCCAACAATGACCAAACTATTTTATTCATAACATAGTGAGCTGTTGAACCATCAGTTATGTATATGGAGATTTTTGCCTTTTTTTAAAGGACATTTCTCTAAACCAACTTGGACTCTCTGAAATCCAAGTAGGAAAGTTTAAGACCCTCAGAATAATGCCAGGTGCTTTTCCTCAGAAGCAGGGATATAGGCCTATGAAGTGTCTCCCTGAACGCTGAGTCCCATTGAGGGGCCTTGGGGGTGACCTCCTCCCTCAGCAAGCTGGTGGAGGCCTCTGGGGGCCACAGAGAGAGCCTTTCCTAGGAAGTCGCAGGGAAGTAGTTCCCATGTAGAGGAACATGGATGCATCTCATCCTTGTTTCTAGAACCGAGAAGCAAAAACTTCCTTATCCCTATGGGAAGGATTCCCTTAGGGGAAAGGGAAACTGTATTTCCAGGTAAGTGGGGGTAGCAGCCGGCGCCTGAAACATATCTGGGTATGCACACCCCCAAAACCCTTAACTTCTGGGTCTCTCTATCTGGGCTCGGTGCTGAGGAGGGGTACTTTAACTTGGAAGACATGGTAGCCTTTAGCAATGGACTGAATCCACCATAGATCTGCATCTCCTGCAGGCTGTTGGGATCTGTTTTCACAAGCGACACCTTGTGGCAACAAGAAGCAACAGCCAGTCATAGTCTACATCTTCATGTTGCCTCTGTCCGCTGGTCTTGCTTGTTCCTAGATGATTCAGTGTAGCATGATAAAAAGGACAAGTGGATGCCTGAGCAATTGAAGGGGATAATAAGAGCTATGATGGGGCTGGAGAGCTGGCTCAGCGGTTAAGAACACTGGTTGTTCTTGCAGAAGACCCGGGTTCAAATCCCAGCACCCACATGACAGCTAACAACTGTCTGTAACTCCAGTTCCAGGGGATCCAGCCTCTTCTGTCCTCCGCAGGCGTTGCACGACATGGGTGCACTTACCTACATGCAAGCAATACACGCATACACATAAAAAAAAAAGAGCTACCTTACAAGTTCAGGCCAGCTCATTCTAGCTGCAGTTTAATAGGACCTACATGGTATAAATCCAAGAGGGAATATTTTTTTTCTTTTCTAGGTGGCTTTTCATTTTGGAAATTGAGAAAATAATTTAAAATCTTGTTGTTTTATCTGAATTCTTATCTCTTGAGTATAGAAATAAGCTCCCAGTCTCTTACCAGATTAATGGCTAGGTCTTACAAAGTTGAAATAGGGCACAGGGTAGATGGGGTTGTCCCTTGCTTTATATATATAGACCACGAGAACATTGCTTACGCAGAAGAGTTCCTGAGTTACAAAGTGGGCATCTTATGGCAATCTTTCACAGATGTTTTGTACAGTCATCTTGACGGTCTGAGCTGTCTCTGGGAACAGGGCTGCCATGTTCAGCCTGCAGCTGGCCCAGGTGCCTTGGGAGCATGCTTCTCCCCTGGTTCCTCTCCAGCTCTGACCACAGAGCCAAAAACCACTTGGAATTTATCTCCAATGCAGTCCTGAAGTTGGGTCAGGATGGATTCTTCTAGCTGAGCTCAATCATTTCCTGATATAGAAGGGTCCAACGTACAAGGGTTTTCATCTGCCACAGCATGAGCATGAGGTGGCAGAGGCTCGGGCTGTGGCAAATGCGTGGCTCTGCACTGAAATCCTCTGTTGTATGAGCTGGCTCCAGGGCGCAGCAGAATCTGTGCCGGAAGGTGCAAGATTAAACAGAGGGGGAAGGATGCCGCACTGTGTGGGAGACCCACATGTGGAACCCAGTGGCCAAGGCTGTGCCTTCTGCTTGGGCTGCCGCCCTCAGTTACCACTGAAGCTCTTTGGCATTCCTTCAATGAACACGATGTTCTTAGGTCACACTCAGTTTGCAGAGCCCGTGCCCTCTTTATATGTGCTTAGAGTGGCACCTCTTGTGGACCAACTCTTCCAGTTCACCCCTATAGCTGTTTCCTTAGGTACCAGCCAGCCTCAGGAGCACTGGGTTAGGACCATTTCCAACAACCTTCGCTCCAAAGACCCAACTGTTGCCCCTTTGTAGTCAGGTGAACACCAAAAGGGGTGTTTTCTAAAACCCACCAAAGCACAGCTTTCGGGCTATACCCTTTCTGTGGATTTATGAACCATATCAGCCTTTTACCTGATAACCAAGTCATCACTTTAGGGAATGAATCTCTGCAGATTTCAAAAATAAACTCCTGATTTCTATTCTTGCCTGTGTAAGGAAGCAGCTGCTAATGTCTATAAGTGAAAGAGGGAGGAAAATTCCCTAATTTGATCTCCAAAAGGCATCTTTTTATTTTATTTTATATTTATTGTGATTCTAGGGATTGAACCCAGGGCTTCATGCATGCTAGTTAAGTGCTCTACCACTGGGCTATATCCCCAGCCCTTTTTATTTTTAATATGTGTGCATACATTCATATATATATGTTTTTGCATGTATACATTCATGTGGGTGCATGTGCACATGTGTATACATGCGTATAGAGGCCAGAGATGAATGTAGGGTGTCTTCCCCAGTCACTGTACACCTTATTTTTATTGTTTGAGACAGAGTCTTACTATGTAGCCCTGGCTGGTCTGAAAATCATTAGACAGACCAGGCTGGCCTGGAACTCACAGAGATCCATTTGCCTCTGCCCCCTGAGAGCTGAGATTAAAGACATGCATCACCATTTCTGGCTCTTATTTTTATACAAAATCTTTGTTTTTAAATAATTCACAAAGCATAAAATCTGCATTTACACAGTTCAATGATTTTTAGCAGAATATATTTATGGAACTGTGAAGCATCACCACATTCCATTTTAGAACTTTTTTTTGGGTCAATTTCATACATGTTGATAATGTATTATAATTATATTCCACCTCACTTTTTGGGACAGAATTGCCACTGATCCTGGAGCTCACTGATTAAGCTAGACTGGCTGGCCAGGAAACCCCATGGATCTACCTACCTCTACCTCCACAGTGCTGGGGTTACATGTGACCCACTGGACTTTTTATGTGGGTGCTGGTCATTGAACTCAGGTCCTCACGCATGTGTGGCAAGCACTGTGCTCACTGAGCCATCTCTTCAGACACTATTTTAACTTATTTTGAGATAGGAACTTACTAGGTTGTCCCAGGTTGGCCAAGGAATCACGCTTCTCCTGCCGCAGCCTCTGGAGTAACTGGGAATAGAGTCATGTACCACCAGGTCCAAATGAAAGGTATCCATCTGACAGGAACCATCTAAAACTTTTACATGCTTCTATTTAAGCAGGCCTGCATTTTTGCAGATGAGGACTCTGGGGTTTAGCAGAAATTAGTTGTCCTGGTTACATGCCTGTTCTTACCCTTGTTCTGCTTGTGATTGAGGTCTTTCTTCATCTGACAGTCCTGTCTGCTTCTGGTACTTAGCTCAGCTTTGGGGTTCCCCTCCCCAGTCTGATTTTTTCAAACTAGTGTTTGGTGAAGAATATCCAGCTACTTTGGCTTCTGAGGACACGCAAACAGAAACTTTGTATCTGGGGAGACATGTTGAAATAAAATGCATGATGATTAACATTGACGGTCAACTTGACAGGTTCTAGAGTTCCTTAGAAGAGAAACCCTGAACATGTCTGTCAGGGAGTTTCTGGATTATGTTAATTGAGGTGAGAAGACCCACCGTGTCTGTGGGTGGCATCATTCCACAGGCTGAGGTCCTGGACTGAATAAAATGGAGGAGGCGAGCTGAGCACTGGCGTTCGTAACTCTCAGCTTCCTGACTCTAGACACCATGTGACCAGCTGCCTCACACTCCTGCCACATAAGCCTAAATGAATCCTTCCTTCCTTAAGTGCTTCTGTCATTGTATTTGGTCACAACAATAGGAAAAGTAACTAATATAAAATGTAAACAGTTTTGGGACCCAACCTTGGACAAACCCTCAAAGCTGTTCTCTGAAAGAGCTATGGGCATGTAGAGCCAGGGGAGGTGCTCTGAGGCCCTTTGACTGTGTGCATTGGTAGAGGTAAGAAAAGGATCCTGTGTCCCCAACCTATAATTATATACCCTCTGTTTATCTCTAGTTGATCATGGTCTGTTTCAAGAACCCATGAAGAAAAGACGCCGGGCAGACCGAGACCGGCGGTTCCAAGCGTTTCCCTCCATGGAGCAAAGTGCTCTTAAGGAATGTGAGTCCTGTGAAATGGTGGTATGGTTCGTGTCAACATGGCTCTGTTTTCCAAATGTGTGCGAATGCTCAGAGGACGAGCAGGTGAAACTCTGAAACAACCGGGCCTTTCTGTTCACTTGTTTCTCAGTCTCTGCAGAGACATGTCATTTGACCATTTATCTCCAGGCTGCTCTGAGTAGGAGGGTTGTTATCAAAGCAACATCCTGATGAGAAGAAAGTCTACAAATGATTGGCTGGGTGCTTTAGCAGATGTTTATACATAATCCACAGGAGAGAAGAAACTAGAAGGGCTAAAGTCCATGGAAACACATAAGATGACTTCATTATAAGGAGTTGCTGATCAGGCTGGCTCTCAGGAGGTTGTCAGAATGGATACCATCTTCTCAGACGAGCCATTATCTCTAGTGGCAGATAACTTGTTCACTAGTTTAACTGGCTTCTCTTTTCATTCTCTTCCCTTCCTTGACATATTCAGCAGCCTCCTTTGGAGACCTTTCACTTGCTCTTGCCCAGGCACATCCCAGATAATACATTTCTGTTGATTTCAGATGAAAAACTGGAGTCTCGGACCAGGAGGGTTTTGAGCAACACTTACCAGAAAATGATTCAGTCTGTCTTCTTGGATGATAACATACCCAGTGGGGTCAAGTATCTCATGTGAGTCTGAAAGCTGTACCCTCCGATTGGATGTTCATGTCTTTCCTGGGGCAATTGTAGGTGTCCTCCCACCCGCAAAGTAGTTTCAATTAGAAACAGCATAGAGGACGGAAAAGTCTCCACAGCTATGAGCTATCAACATTACTGACAGTAGCCATTCACTGTGTAGTTAGGTGTTGTCTTTACAAACCACAGTTTTACCTTCCCAACACTCACAAAGTAGGAGCTGATGAGATTGTACCATTTTTTAAAATTATAAATAAAATATTTTATTTATTTGTTTTTACACCCACTTCCCAGATAGCATCCTCCCATAGCCTCCCTCCCCCCACGAGAGCCCTTATACTCTGATATCCCTGCTACTGTCTGCTATGTTGTCGGCACCCCCAGCCATTCCCCACTACTTGCCCTTCTGGTGAAATCTAGTCAGCCTGTCTAGAGGTCTTTGTTTTAGGAGGGTCAGCTTCTTGGGTGTTTAACAGACATACTTTGAGGCCTATGATAATTTGGCCAGAGGGACATAAAGGACACTTTTTGCTCCTTGCCCTCCTAGGTCAACTAGTTCCAGGGAACTTTGAGCATCTCTCAAAATGTCCTATAATGGTGGTGGGTCAACCTGTCCTCTTGATCAAAGAAGTCGAGAAGACCCCACCAGATGGACTTGAACCAGTGTCCAGTCTATAAAGAGGAGGGTTAACACAGAGGAATCATTTCCTCCATGCTTCCAAGCAAAGCCAACTATGGTCGAGCAGGACCTTTGACTTACATTCTCATAGGCGGAACTGGTAAAAGAAAGGAGCCAGGGGCTCCTCCCAAGCCCATGTGACCCCTGAGGAACAGATCCTCAAATGACCTTAATAGTAAAAATAAATCGGTTTATCTGGACCAAATGTATGGCATTAAACACCCAAAAGGAAAGTATAACCAAAGATTAAAGGGGCCAATATAATTTCATAAGAGTCCATATGTATAGCTAAAGGCTACATAACAAGCAACAATGCCAGACAGGCGATACCTTCTTTTGAGCTGTTGGCCAGGGTAGCCAAAGGGATTCCCAGACAGTAACCAAGCATATAGAACTGGGAAAATGAATAGCAGACCCCAATTTTATCCAAAGGAATATTGACAACTGATTACCGCTAGATAAGATTGCCCCATTTTACTGAAACTGATTCTCAGAGAGCCCAAGTCATTGAGGACAGTCACATTGTTGATAAGCAGGAAGGTCCTTAGTCCAGCCAAGCTGCACGAATCTGAACTCTTGTCCCCAACATTCCCTTAGGTCTGTGCTGAACTGACCTAAGGGACTGTCAAGGACATAGTCTTGTTCAGTAGACTCTGGGTGGCTTCTTATGTTCCTTTACCTCTGTGAGTTTGATCTGGGACAAGAATATATGATTTCTGCAGAACACAAACAAGGATGCCACGTGACTGTGTAGACAGTACAGGGTTTGTGGGGATTGTCTTCATCAAGATTTTTGCATAGTCCCATTTGCTCCCCAGCCCTTGTTTATGAATAAATGGGCAATAATAGTCCCCATAGATCAAAGAATGAGTAGGGGAGTGGAAGAAGAGTAGAGGACTTACCCAGGGTCAGACCTTAGCTTCTCTGTGTTCTGTTCTTATATGCTTCCTCCAATACTTAATGTGCATTTTGAAATGGATGCAGAAACAGGCTTCTCACCTTGATTGAAAAGCCACCATTGGACCCAATCTATGTTGGGTTATTGGGAAGCACTGGAGCTGGAAAGAGCTCCCTCATCAATGCCCTCATCCAGCAAGCTATGTTTCTACCAGTTTCTGGAGAAAGTATTTGCACTTCATGCATTGTACAAGTGAGCTCTGTGTGCTGTGAGCAGTATGAGGCCAAAATCCACCTTCTGTCTGACCAGGTAGGCCATCCCTAACCCTAACCGTAACCCTAACCCTAACCCTAACCCTAACCCTAAAACCCTAACCCTAACCCCTAACCCTAACCCTAACTCTAACGATAACCCTAAACCTAACCCTAGCCCTAGCCCTAGCCCTAGCCCTAGCCCTAGCCCTAACCCCAACCCTAACCCTAACCCTGGCCCTGGCCCTGGCCCTAGCCTTAACCCTAACCCTAACCCTAGCCCTAGCCCTGGCCTTAGCCCTAACTCTAACCCTAACCCTAGCCCTAGCCCTAGCCCTAACCCTAGCCTTAGCCCTAGCCCTAACCCTAACCATCTCTCCCTCCCTTATTCACTCTCTTCTTCCCCTTTCATTCTCCTTCCTTCCTCTCCCTCCCTTCCTCCCTCCATTTCTTCCTTCCTCTCTTTTCTAATTCCCTCCCTTTCTCATTTCCTTCCTTCCTTCCTTCCTTCCTTCCTTCCTTCCTTCCTTCCTTCCTTCCTTCCTTCTTCCCTGAAATTTTCCTTTCCCATTATCAGAGATTACAATTATACTCCTTGTAAATATAACACATGGGCTGGGGAGACGGCTTAGTTGGTAAAGTGCTTGCCATGAACGCATGAAGACTTGTTTGGATCTCTAGCACCCATGGGAGAGAAAAAAAAAAGCCAGGTAGGTATGTCTGCAATCCCAGCACTCAGAAGGCAGCGATACTGGGCTTGCTAGCTAGCCAGCCTAGCTGAATTGATGAGATCCAGGTTCAGTGGAAGAGCGATCTCAAAAAACTTATAGAGAAGAGATTGAAGAAAACACCTAGTATTAGCCTCTGGCCTACACACACACACACACACACCCACACACACACACATACACACACACATACTCACACACACACAAATAGCTACAGCACATATCTCTGTTGAATAAAAAGAACAAATTGCTGAGTGAGAAAGTTCAAGAGAATGAGATGAGAGTTCTGACCCAGGTCCTGTGGCAGCTCCTTATACGGCCTGTGGATCACCCGTTTCCCTCTTTGAGCCCCTGTTTCCTCATTGTTTTAGTTCCCTTTCTGTTGCTGTGATAAAACATTATGACCAAAAGCAACTTAAGAGGAAGAAAGGGTTTATTTCAGCTTATACTTCCAGGTCACAGTCCATCACTGAGGGAAATCAGGGCAGGAACTCGGGCAGGAACTCAAAGGTAGAAATCATGGAGGACAGCTTGGTGGCTTGCTCATGGGTTCATGCTTAGCTAGCTTTTTATACAGCCTAGGCTCTCCAGCCTAGGAAATGACAATACCCACAGTGTACCCATACCTACATTGATTAAGACATTCAAGGGAGTCCCCCACAGATGTGCCCACAGACCAACCAGATTTAGACACTTCCCTCAGATGACCCTAGGCTGAGTCAAGTTGACAAGGCTAACCAGGACACTCATTTAAAAGTCAAAGAGCTTGGGGTAGCTGATTACAGGTTTCTGAGCATGCATTCCCTGGTCCTCCTCAGGACCATGTGCTCTGTCCTTCCTTTTGTTACTATGGTTCCTTCCATCTGTGTCAAGAGGAGTGTGTGGCCTGCTCTGCCTTGACAGGAGTGGAAGGAGGAGCTGAGGAACTTGACCAAGCTCCTGCACAGGACTGAGGAGCCCAGTGAAGAGGCGGATATGTGGGACAAGGATGATGCAGTGGAGGAAGCCGCCTGGAAGCTACAGATGGTCTATGGAAGTGGGGCAGAAAGGCAGAGCTTTGAGGACTTGCTAAGGACGAAGCCCAGAGGGAAGATTCCCACCTCTAGAATCATCACTCTCAAGGCAGAGGAGGTACTGTCAAGATATTTTTTTTCTTTATTATAGGCCTTAAGTTTAACAGTCAAACCTATCCAGGGGGATTGCCCAAGTCATAATGTTATTATCAGAAATGCATTGGTACCCAAACCAGAATTATCCATCGCCCATTACCTTTCATTATTTATTATTATTATTATTATTATTATTATTATGTCTTTTTTGAAGCAGGGTCTCCCTGTAGCTCCAGCTGTCCTGGAACTCACTATGTAGACCAGGCTGGCCTCAAACTCACAGAGATCTGCCTGCCTCCTGAGTGCTGGGATTAAAGGCATGTGCCACCACACCTGGTTACCTTTCATTATTTTTAATTTCTAAAAATTTTGTGAACATGGGGGTGTGGCCCGAATTCCCTCTGGGTCTCCTGCGTGATCAGACAAACCATATATTTTATGTGAGTTTATTAACTTACAAAGGAATGAGTACCCAGTGCCCAGCCCCATGCTGAGACTCAGAGCCTGCCTTATCAGACCATGCTACGCCCATAGTCACCGCTAGCATTTGCTCACACCTCCAGGGCCAGCGATTGCCCCAGGTCCACACAAGAGTCAGTCCATTCTGTCCCTCAGCTGCCCAGCAGCCGGCTGCATGTCCCCCATACCATGCACGCTACCTGCAGCTTGTGGCTTTTGTCCCAAGATGGCTCCCAGAAGTCCCTTTGTAGTCCATACTCTGTGTTGGGCCCTGCTAGTTGGAGGAACTAGACAATAGGGAGACAGGGGGGCTACCTGGCTTGGGTGCTGAGAACTAAACCCAGGTCCTCTACAAAAGCAGTACAAACTCTTAACCACCAAGTCATCTCTCCAGCTCTACCTTTCAATATTTGTGGCTGTCAAATGGGAATCTTTGGTGTCTGAATGGAATTTTCATGTGCAGAAAATACAGTTAGTTGAGGACTGATTTGAGATGTTTTTGGACACAAATGATAAGACCATAAAAAAGCTTGAGCGAATGAGGTTTATTAATTTTCTCATAAAAGATATTTGGAGGCTACTGGCTCTTGGTTGATTTAGTGACTCAAAAATGTCAAGCTGACATGCCGTTGGTCCCTTGGCCTTTGGTTGTGTGCCTCCCCTCTTAGTCTAAGGTTGCTGCCGAAGCCTATACTTTGTAGCTAGTCTCATGGAAGAAGTGAGTAAATGTTGGCATCTGCCACATCTCCTCTTTCAAGAAGTAAAAACACCCCCGAGAAACACCCTTGATAAATTTGTGTGTAGATTGTTCAGCACTGGGTCATATGACCCTTCGTAGCTGGTCTAGAGAAGACAGGAAGCTGACTTGTCCTGATTGGCATAGACCAACCTCATTCTTCCACCTCTCCAAACAGGTAGACAGAAATCCAGGACTCTGTTGGCATGGATGAGGGTGTGGATGGATATTGAGGGGCATCTAGCACTACTCCTTACTTTCAGAATTGCTATTCATTTTATTAAGTTGAAATTCAAAATCTACATTAGACAAAATATTTGTGGAAACAACACTCCGTGTATGAATATTATATATTTAAAAGCTTTTTGTTCTGGGGATGGAGAAATGGGTAAAGGTGCTTACTACTAAACCTGATGACCTGAGTTTGATTCCTGGAACCTGCATAATGGAAGGAGAGAACCAATCCTGCAAGTTGTCCTCTGATTGCCACATGCACACTATGGCATGCATGTGCCTCATGCTCCACAATCAATCAGTCCATCAATCAGGCAATCAATCAATGAAAAACCCTAGTTTTTCTTGTTTTTAACATTCATCTTCAAAGTATTATTCTTCTATTTTTAAATCTGGCAATTTTTGTACAACTTAAGAACAGTTAGTTACATTTTCCTAAAATTTAATACCAATTAACTTGTAATCAACAAAGAAAATTCTTCTTAAATATTTAAGATTTTAACTATGTATATGTACATGTGGCAGAGGCCAGAGGCATCAGATCTCCCTAGAGCTGGAGTTACAGGTGATTGTGAGCCACTGGGCATGGGCATTGGGAAGTGAACTCAGGTCTCCTGGAAGAGTAACAGATGGTCTTAACAGATGAGTCATCTCTCCAGCTCTCCTTAAAAAAATATTTAATATTACTTCATACCTAAATATCCTTAGACCTTTTAATATTATAATTAAGCTTAGTATATTTGATGCTCTCAAAATACTTCAAATAATGAGCTGGTATGATGGCACACACCTGTAATCCCAGCACTTAGGAGGCTGAGGCAGGAAGATCATGAGTTTGAGGAAGTGACAGTTCATAGCAAGACTCTGTATTCTAGGCTATATAGTGAAACCCTGTGCTGAAAAACAAAATGCATGCTGGGAATACTTAGAATCAAATGAATGAAACCTTTTCAAAGCACTTTGTTGCCTCTTGTGTTTGTAGAAATCAAACAAATATAGTTGCCATTAGTATTTAAATCAGTATTGCTAGTAAATGATTAGATTTAGATTTATGTATTATTATTGTGTGTATATGATGTGTGTATGTGCGTGTGTATGCCACAGGATGTATGGAGGTCAGAGGACAACTTTGTGGAGTTGGTTCTCTCCTTCCACCTTTTACCTGGGTTTTAAGACTTGAACTCAGGTCAACAGGCTTCATGGCAAGCACTTTTACCTACTGAGCCATTTTGATGGCCCCCAAGTGATTATATTTTGATTTCTAAAACCATGGACTGCACATCTTCAGTGACACATAATGATTGGTTACTTTATCTGCATATATGCAGCCTGTACACTTGTCTTAATTAATGTTCACTTATTTACCACCTCTGTATTTGGAAATAGTCTCCCCAACATCATGAACTTATCTATTGAAACCAGCACAATAGGGGTACCATCTCAGGAGTGAGGTCACACATTCAGAATTTCCACTGGAGAATCTGGACTGAGCAGAGGGAGCTTGTGTTTACCCTCCCTAGCATTTTACCCTAAATCCCACTGCTCTGGGCCCCTTTTCTTATAGAAAGGGAATTTTTTAATTTATTATTTTTATTTTATGTGTATGAGTGTTATGCCTGCATGTATGTATATGTGTATGAGTGTTATACCTGCATGTATGTAAGTGCACCCCTGTCATGCAGTACCCATGGAGGTCAGAAGAGGGCATCAGATCCCCTGGAACTCGAGTTACTGATGGTTGTTAGCCATCATGTGGGTGGTGGGAATCGAACCTGGTTCCTTTGCAAGAGCAGTCAGTGCTCTTAACCACTGAGCTGACTCTCCAGCCTCAGAAAGGGACTTTTAAAGTCCATGCCTCTTCCTGGTCTTCTTCCTGTATCTGCTTTTCTTTAAATTACAGTGTCTTAAACAGCTTTTATTACATTCTCTTTCACAATTTGTCATTTTTTATGAATTGGTGAAATTTGTCATTCTATACCCAGATTGCAGTAAGTTCACCAATTTAGTCTAAAATTGCTTAAGAACTTCCATTCTTAGGGCTGAAGGGATTCAGTTAAGGACGCATACTGCTGTTGCAGAGGACCTGAGTTAGGTTCCCAGCACCTGTGTCAGGTGGCTCACGACCACTTGTAACTCAAGCTCCAGGAGATATGACTGCCCTCTTCTGGCTTCCACAAGTACCTACACTCACATGTACATACCCACACACACAATTAAAAAAAATCTTAAAAAATTTTTTTAAAAGAGTTTTGACTCTTAACCTTTCTCTCTGGATCATTCTGAGAATATTTGTTAACAATGACCACCACAGATTCCAACTTTTCTACTCTCTGAAATGCCCTAGTCACGAGTTACTGCCCTGGCTGCCAGCATGGATATTTCATCCTCCCAACATGTGTCTAAGTAGGAACAGAAGGATGGGAATTCTCCCATGTCCCACTTGCTGTTGTTGAAATGTTCTGAAAAAGTCTACATATCAAGGTATTTTTTGTACTTAGAAGGCACTTAAAAAAAAACAAACACTTTTTAAAGATCAATTTTCAGTTGAATTTTCAGTTTGGAAAATATGGTCATTATATTACAATTGATTTTTTTTTATAACATTTGCTGGCTTTCTAGTAATTAAAATGTTCAGCTGCCATTTGCCACATGGGAAAAATCTGTGCTAAGCAAAATTTAGAAATTGCACTAATTTTAGAAACAAATGGAATTTGGGAGCTAAAGTTAGTGCCCTGTAACCTTCTGGGGAGTCCTTTTCCAGCTGAGTTGGGCCTCTTTGTATGTAAATTAAGGAGCTTTCTTAGGCATCCCAGGCTGGCCTTGAAGGCGCTATAGAATCAAGGACAGTCATGAACTTCTGATCCTCCTGTCTCCACCTTCTGAGTGCTGAGATTATAGGCATATACCACCACCATGCCCTTTATGCAATGGTGGAAATCAAACTCAGGGCTTCAAGCATTCTAGGTAAGCATTCTATCAACTGAGCTATATCCCTAGCCCCACTAAGTTCTAAAGATTTATTTTTTGTTTGTTCATGTGTGTGTGTGTGTGTGTGTGTCTATGTTCACACATGTGTGTGCAGGTCCTCTTGGAGTTCAGACGAGAGCACTGGATTCCTTGGACCTGGAGTTATAGGTGGTTGTGAGCTGTCCGGTATAGGTGCTAGGATCCAAACTCTGGTCCTCATGATTGAGTAGCAAGTGCTCTTATCCATTGAACCATCTCTCCAGCCCCTCACTAAGTTAAGAAGCTTGTACTTGCTGGTCTCCAGAGTCTTTCCAACCCTGCAGGGTCTAGGCCTGTGCAGAGATCACCATCCCTTAGCATACCTTTAATGACCCTGCATCATAGTCAACCCAGGCCAGCATGGCTGGTGCTTGTGACTTTGTCCTTCCACCTCAGGCAGAAGAGCTGTCTGTCAAGCTGGACCCCTACATCAGGACCCAGAGGAGACACTGGGATAGAGAACCAGCTGAGACTAGAATGTGGCCCTTGATCAAGTATGTGGAAGTGATTCTTCCCAAATCTGCGCTGCTTCCTGAAGGGGTTGTGCTGGTGGACATTCCTGGCACAGGCGACTTCAACAGCAAGAGGGACGAGATGTGGAAGAAGGTGATTCTCTCCCACAGGACTTCATTCCTGCTTCCTTCTGCTCTTCCACCCTTTCAAAGTAGATACTCTCAACTTAAGAAATTTTATGAGTTTGTTGGAATTAAATTCTTTTACTTTCTATGTTCCAGCATTGATCAGGGCAATGGCTATATATGGTGACCACAGAAATTGGCAAGGAGGAATTACAGGGTAGATCTGGTAGCTGGGACAAGGGTGTGAGATGTATGAGGAGGGCCAGCAATAATAGGGCCTATGGGAAAGCAAGAAAACCAGGGCAGAAAGGTATAGGGAGGCTATGAGCATCAAGGAGGCTGTATTAGTTACTTTTCTGTTGTTGTGATAGAATACCCTGACAAAAAGCAACTTAAGGGAGAAAGGGTTTATTTTGGCTCACAGTTCCAGAGGGGATACAACCCATCGTGATGGAGAAGGAATGGCAGCAGAATCATGAGGCCAGACTAGCAGTCAGGAAGCAGAGTCATCACTTTTCATCCTCACTCAGGAAGTACAGAGACAGAGAACAGGAAGTGGGGCCAGGCTACAAAACCTCAAAGCCCACCCCTAGTGACTTACTTCCACCAACAAGGCTCTGCGTCCTAAAGGTTCCATAACCTCCCCAAACAGCACCACCAACTGACGATCAAGTGCCCAAACACATGAGCCTATGGAGGACATTTCTTTCAAACCACAACAGACACCAAGGGTCTAAATCACGGAAGCCTATTGCTGAAAAACTGAGAGTCTGCATCTGTATTAACTGCAGGAAACAGAAGCCACTGAACTAGTTGCTTGAGCATTGCTGTAATCTGACAGAACGATGTAAAAGATGAACATTATTTTGTCTCGTGGTTTCAGAGGGTTTGGCCCACCTTAATGGTGAGAGTGTGATGGAGCAGAACAGTTTACCTCTCTAGGTGCCACCTCTCACCTTTTACCACTCCCCAATAATGCTATTGTATTACAAATTCATCAGAGATTGAATTCCATCCATTAGATTGACCTTCATGGTCTGTCTCTGGAGATGTCATCACAGACACCCTCAGAGGTATGCTTTACTAATCTGCTGGGCATTACTTTATCTAATTAAGCTGACAAGCAAAATTAACTTCATATCCGCTGACGCAACGTCAAACAGTGAAAGGATTCCAAAGGGAGGCACTTAGGCATCAGGGCCACTCAGCAGGATCCAAGCAGCTCTTCTCTCTCTCATTCTCACCCTCTCTCTTGTGATCCAGCTTCCCTTTATGCATCTCTCCATAAAGTCCTGCTTCTCTCTTAGCTTTCCCAGCTGTTAAGGTCGACATCATTAAAAAATGGGACCGTAGCCCTACATCTAAGTGACCTTGCAATTCATGGGCCTACAACTGTCTGGTAATAGTCTTTATGTCTTTTAGCTCAAATTTCTAGGAGGAAAAATCTGAGAGATGACTCCAGAGTATGGAGCTAATTTTCTCCAGATCAGGTATCCATCTTCTGACCATCAGCTGTGGCAGAAGGTTGTGGTCTGGATGGAGATCCAACCATTCATCCAGAGGTGTGGGTAGGAGCAATGGAAGGACTGGTACCTCCCAGGAATGAGCTGAATGGGTAGCCCGCAGATGTGCCAACCCCCAGAGCAGAACATTAAGGGATTTGTCCTGCATCTAATGATCACAGGTTGAACTATTTCCTTGAATGTATTTCTTTATTCATTTACAAAACACATACAATGTACTGAGTACCAGGAACACAGAGTATAGCTGATTTATATAGTCGGGAATTACAGTCATCCCTTGGTATACATGAGGGGTTGGGTCCAGGACTCCCTGTGAATAGTAAATGCTCAGATGCTCAAGTCTCTTAGATCAAATGGTAGCATGTTTGCACTTAACCTGTGTATACTCTCCTATAGACTTTGAATCATCCCTCGATGATTTATAGTACCTAATGCAGTCTAAATAGATGTCTTATCATTCAGGAACTAAAAAACAAGAATGTTTTAGTAGAAAACATGATTGGCTGAATCAGTGGTTGTAGCACCCATGGATGTGGAGGACTAGTGCTCTCTCTCCCTCTCTCTCTCTCTCTCTCTCTCTCTCTCTCTCTCTCTGTGTGTGTGTGTGTGTGTGTGTGTGTGTGTGTGTGTGTGAATGCACAGTAGAAGTACAGCCATGCTTTCTGGAGGAGACACCTCAACACCTTACAGTACTTTCTGGTTTCTGCTCCGTATGCGTCTGCAGTGCCTGTGTATTCTGCAGTGCCTGTGTATTCTGCAGTGCCTGTGTATTCTGCAGTGCCTGTGTATTCTGCAGTGCCTGTGTATTTTGCATGCGCCTGTGTTGCTTTCATCTTTGTCTTTTTAAAGCAAAGTGAAACAGAAAGAATCAGGGCATTCCCGTGAGAAGCTTAGAGTTGCAGAGGATAGATACAACCTACAGATGAGTCAATAAATGGTGGGCAGTGATATAGGAGAGACCCAAGGAGCTATGAACTCCAAAGGTAGGCATGACCTGAGGTCATCCTGCTATTTCAATATCTGCGGAACATCTGCTCAACTTTGTGGAAGGTTCTGGCTGGACAATGTCCTTGTGCTTGGCATCTCCTGATCCATGCTAATTAACAAGCCATATCTAGAAAGGAGGGCACAGAGAGGTTGATTTCCATTTTGCAGTGGCTGGGGCTCCAGAGAGGACCCAGATGCTGAGCCTCCACCTTGCAAAGAAAGGGATTGGGAGTAGAACCTCTGAGCACCAGTCCAGGCTCAAGAGCAGTGTGAGCTGAGACCAGAGGGCTGAGGAGCCTGGTAAGGTGGGGAACGTTGGTCTTCCTGAGTGCAAAGGGAAGGGAACGGGGCATGGAGGAGGAAGGCGGAAGACAGCTTACGCAGTCCCCTTTAGCACTGCTGCTCCTGAGTTTGGCTTCCTGGGAAACCTGAAGAACAAGAGAAACTAGGTCATTTGCTAGAGGAGAAAAAAGGCCTGTGGTGGACTGAAGGAACTCTGGAATCAGGAACACAGCGGGAATGCAGGAGAGCACAGCACTGCGGTTGGATGACCCGAGTCAGCACAGAGCAACTAAGTGAACGACTGGATCCCGCTTTTACAATAAAAGCGAAGAAAGTTCAGAGAAGGACAGGAACTTGCCCAAGACCACACAGCTAGTGAGTGACGGAATTTGCAGTGGAGATCAGAGTTCTAAACTAATCAGGGGATCTATCTGCTACCCCCCGCCCCCCTTCATGACCCTTTATCTTCTTTAAGATGAGGTAGTCTCAGTGTCCTTTGCCTTGGTCAGCCAGCTCAGTGACTGGTCATGTGAACTTAAGTTTCAGCTCTGGCAGTGGAACCACCAACCTTGGCTGAGAGTGACAGCTGGACAGGAGCCAGCTCTTTCCCTGGATGGAGCATGGTTGCAGCTAGTTCAGATATACTGGGCAGCTTATCAAAGCCAGCAGATCTGGCTCCCATCGTGCTCCAAGAGGTTGGCTGGAGGAAAAGGCTGGTTCCCGGAGTGCTCTGCCTGGCCTTGCTCCCCTGCATTCCTGAGGTTTCCTGATAGCCTCTCACAGGAAGTGACTGAAGACAGCCCTCTTCCCAGGGAGAACAGAGCTCCAGGACAAGGTTCACTGGCCGCCAGCTTTGCCTTCTCTACAAACCACACCAAATTCAGATGTCCTTGTTCTGCCAGTTAGATGCCATCTTTGGGTACTGTCACCTAACCTTTTGAGACCCATTTTCATCTTGGGGAGGGACAGAGGCAGGGTTGGCAGAGTGCTGTTCCATACTGACTCTGGGGTCCAGTTGGGTTTACTTTTAAAAAAATATTTATTATTTTTATTTTATGTGCATGAGTGTATTGCCTGCATGTAGGTAGGTGCACCCATGTTGTACAATGCCCACAGAGCTCAAAAGAAGGTGTTGGATTCCCTGGAACTGGAATTAAGGATGGTTGTTAGCTTCCATGTGGTGTTGGGAATCGTCCTCTGCGAGCACAGCCAGGGCTCTTAACAACTGAGCCATCTCTCCAGTCCCCGAGTTGGGCTTGTTTTATAGATTTGATTTTATGTGTCTTCCACTGCTCTAACTACACCAGATCCTGAAAGTCAGGAGCTTGGTGTGGGGATAACATTTGAGCATTTCCCCCATTAGTAGTGCTTGCTTGTGGAGCGCCCATCACTTACCAGGAAGACAAGAATGAAAGACAGCCTGTCCTTGAGGCGCTCCCAGCCTGCTGGACTTCAGTCTTCCTTACCAGTGGACTCAAAGTCCACTGTGATCGCTGAAGAGCCCCAAGCATCTCTGAGTTGATTATAACTTGGGAACCAGGGGCCAGCAATTATTTCGATATTCATATCTAAATATAAGTCCATTTCAAATAGATGAGGATCAGGGTCTAACACTGTATAGCTCTGGGTATCTAGCTCTGACCTGTTTTCTTCTCCATAGTCCAAGGGCTTTGTCTAATTCATGAGATGTATGCTTTTAAAGTCATGAGCTATGGAGTCAAAAGTCTCCAGGGACAGAGAGAACGTAGGGGAGCATTGATCAGACAACGCCAAGTCTTCCCCCTTAGCCAGAGCAGCTCTGGGTTTAAAAGTCAAGTGTTTACCCTGGGATTCTTCCTAAGGCATTTACTATGCACTAGAGACTGAGCCGGGGAAGGTGCTGGGGCTCTCTTTTCGTAAAGGAGACAGAGCAAGGGGTGGGAGAGGTGCACATGGGGCTTCAGGGGGCAAGTTGGGGAATCTGCTCTCCGCCACAAATTCTGCCACTCACCAGCTGTGTGGCCTTGGGCAAAACTAATTTGAAACTTACTGTTATAAATCAAGATCTCTCACTCTCATGCCATTTGGGGCTAGAGAATTCTTTGTTATAGGAAGCTGTCCTGGGCACTGTAGGGTCTTTAGCTGTTATCCAACAGCACCCCAAGTTGTATAACAATTAAAAACATCTTCAGAGGAACTGGAGAGATGGCTCAGCAGTTAAGAACACTTGTTGCTCTTTCAGAGAACCCGAGTTTGGCTCACAGCACCCACACTGGGTGGCTCACGACTACCTGTAACTCCAGGTTCAGGGGATCCAATACCATCTTCTGGCCTCTGCAGGCATCCATGCATACATGGCGTGCACGTGCATGCACACACACACATACACATAAATAAAAAATAAAAATAAATCTTAAAAACATATCTTCAGATATTACCGAATAACCTGTGGGGTACAAAATCTGCTTTAGTTAAAACATCTGATATGAAGCAAAATAATGATTTAATTATCAAGTCATAAACCAGTCACACCTTTATATGCAAAGTACTGTCTTAAAGGATTATGGATCAACTTGATCCAGAGTTGGACTAGCATTTCATTTATGTGGAGATAAGAGAAACAGGACAGTGACAGAAGTGTCATAAGAGCGTGCACAATCGGCACACAGAAGCTGCATATTTCAAAAGCAAGTTTGATGCTGTTAATAATGTCATGTTCATTAGCCTTTGCAACTTGAAATTACAGAGGATCTCATTCCCTGCTACAGTGATTGCTAAGCATGTAGGGACAGTCAAACATCAAAATGATGCCGCAAGGTGACAGCTTTGAGGTTATAGGTGACCAAAGGTAGTTCTGGAAAACCTGTTACTTTCCCATTTAGATACGAATAAGTGAGATGATCCAAGTGCCTGAAAGATCTCAGCCTGGAGGACTGACTTCTAGAACTCTATCAGTCCTGCCACAGGCAGCTGGGAGGTTCTGGTGGGTCAAATCCTGAGATTGAGGTGCTGTGGTCTCCAAGACGCAAGGCACAGAGAGCACTTTCCCTTCTCTTTAGGTGATAGATCACTGTCCTGCACAGTCTGAGAGGCACTGTGGTAGGGAGTCGAAGTGTGTAGGATAACCAAGAGAGGTGGCTGCCAGTCTGCAGTGGTCCTGAGCAGAGCCTTCAGTGATTCATGGAGCTAAACAGAGTATGTGACAAGTACAAAAGCCTCAAGAGTTAAGCATCAAGTACATGTGAGGGCCTGTGAGCTGTTCTGACCAGTGCCGAGAGAGCAGTGGGAACCCTGAGTAAGTTGCAGGACTGGAGGAAGCAGAGTGACAGTGGTCCATCACTGAATCGCATCCTCCGTAGCCAACTTACTGTCTGTGTTCTGACACTTACTGTGGGCATGTTCCGCAGACCATTGACAAGTGCTCTGTGATCTGGGTGATCTGCGACATAGAGCGGGTTTCTGGGGGGAGAACCCATGAAGACCTTTTGAATGAGAGCATCAAAGCCTGTCAGCGTGGCTTCTGCAGAGATGTTGCCCTGGTGATCACCAAGACGGACAAACTCCACCTTGCAGAATATCTAAGGTATGGTACTGAGCTTGCAAGGATGTGGGTCACCCACCTTGGGGGCTTTCCTCCCTGGGTTCTGATTATGATAACAAACATGACTTCATCTCAGGCTTCAGGAAGTGACTGTTGGGAATGAAGGAGAAGTCTGGGTGATTCTTTGAGATGTCAGGATGCGTGGACAGGTTGTCTCAGGAGTCTGAGTCACATGGTACCTCTTGGAGAGCAGCTGCTCAGTGCCACACCACTGTCCTCCTACAGAGCTCTAAGGAGTCATTTACATGCCTACTATGCAAATAGTGCCTCCTATACCCAGAGATATGGAAGGATAGATATCTGTCCTAGTTAGCTTTCTATTGCTGTGACAAAAATACTGACCAAAACCAACTTTGGGGAGGGCAGGGTTTATTTGGCTTACAGCCCACAGACATGGCACAGGCCAATCCAGTGGAGGAAATTCCTCAATTGAGGTTCTCTACACCCAGGTGCGTCAAGTGGACAACTCAAGCTATCCAGCACAATAGATGTCTCACAGCTAGGAGGAACATTTTATAAAACTACCCAGCCTGTTGTAGCTCTCAAGTGTTGGGTTTTGTTTCAGAATTGTTTAAAGATTTTTAACCCATCTGGAAAAGGTTCTCAAACTTGAGGATTTGGGCCCAAAGTAAAAGCCAAGAGTTTTTAGAGTGCCAGTCTAAGACTAATGACTAAGAATGAAAGGTGAAGATTAGGGAGCTTGGGTTGGAGAGCTTGGTGGATGTTAATAGGTGTGTTGGTTTCCATGTAGATCTTTGTCCCCCAATAACTCGCATGGAACTTATATCCCATATTGGGACATGTCTGAGAGTGAAAAGGGACCAGCAGAGCAGGCATGAACAGGGCTCAGCTGGGCACACAGCCTGAGGTCACAGGATACGACAATGTCAATGTCATTAGCAATTCTCTGCTCTCTGTCATTGCTCCCAGGCTCACACCAAACTCAGGTATGACTGCTGACTTCAGGAATGTATTTTCTCTCATGGTCTGGGTCAGAATTTCAGTCATTCCCTCTTCCCCCTGCAGTTTCTCCTTGCCCCATTCCCTACCACATAATAATACCTCAGGCTCACCCTTTCTGACACTAACACTGAAGCCAAGCATCACTAAATCTGCTAGGGGCTGAGGATTGCCTCATCTCTGAGCCCACTGCCTAGAAGAGGGGTAAAGGTTGTATGAGACCGTTGAGCTAACTGCTGTGGGGACTGAGGCCTTCAAGAGGCCTGCCTTCTAATGAGACAGGGAGTGACATTGCAGGAAATTTCTAGAGTACAAAATACGGCTTGCCATCAAGAAAAAAACCTCCTCATTTTAAAATGAATACTGGAAGTAGATCAGAGAGGAGAGAGAGAGAGAGAGAGAGAGAGAGAGAGAGAGAGAGAGAAGAGAAGAGAAGAGAAGAGAGTGAGAGAATGTGTGTGCATTGAGTCAAAGAAGAGCTTATACAGAGGGCCAGGGCAATATCTGGCTATGCTGCTTTTTAAAGGAAAAGTTCGATATTTGTTAAGACACAAAATAAAAGTCCAGGGACTAGAGAGATGGCTCAGTGGTTAAGAGGACTGGCTGCTCTTGCAGAGGACCTGGGTTTGATTCCAGAACCCATGTGGGCTAATAACCATCCATAACTCCATTTCCAAGGGATCTGACACCCTCTTCTAACCTCCATGGGCATTGCACAACATGGGTGCACTTACCTACATGCAGGCAATATGCTCATACACATAAAGTAAAAATAATAAATAAAATATTTAAAAATTAAAAGCAGGAATGATGACTTTTTTTCTTTTCATTTCAGGGAAAGAAAGATGGGAAATGTAAGTATGAACCAGTTGTTTTAAAAAAAGATTTATTTTTGTTTGAATTTATGTGTAAGTATGTGCACATGAGTGCAGGTACCCATGGAGGCCAGAAGGGGACATAGGACCCCTGGATCTGGAGTTTCAGGCAGTTGTGAGTCCCCCAATATGGGCACTGGGAACCAAATTTGGGTCCTCTGCAAGAACAGCCAGGGCTCTTAACTTCTGAGCCATTTCTGTAGGCCCTGGACCAGTAACTTTTAAATAATGCCTTTTGTGATTATATAACCCTAATATATGCATACTTGATTTTCTGGGTCCGATGTGGCCTGCTAAAATGATGTGTACCTACCATTTCATCACTACTGACAACCCGGGCCTCTTTGTCTACTTTTATTTTCTTTCTCAATCTAGCAAGCCATTCAAAGTCAGCGAGAGGCTGTTTTGCAAAGAAATGAAATAATTAAACTACAAAGGAATAGAATTCTTAAGGAAAAACTGAAGGTGAGCTTGTGGATTTTGCTGTGTGTTTTTCTGCTCCTCAGGCTCCAGATGTTGAGAAACAGATGTGTATTTGATTTTCTGTGGTAGCAAGGGTAAAAGCTTTGGAGTAGACAATTTTGACTTAATTCTGTCCTACTGCATGTTATCTCTGTGACCTTAAATAGGTGACATTACCATTCTGAACCTCTACTTTTTCATCTGTAAAATGGGGAGCTAGTGATATGTCCACCATGATTGCTGGGAAGATTAAATGAGAATGCTATTTACTGAGAAAAATGCTCAGGTAAATCAGGTTTTGCTAAGTACATTGTGAGGAATGCTTCCTTGAGAGGAGTCATGGTGGGCTGCGGGAACAAGTGTCCAAGTTCCCTTGGCAGTAGGGGAAGTGATCCTTGGAAAAGATTTTGAGGGAAGTTCATCTTCTTGGGCAGAATTTAAAAACAATATCACTGTAGGCTGGGGGAGATGGCTCAGTGGGTAAAATGCTTGCTTTGTAAGCATGAGGGCAGGAATTTAGATTCCCAGCACCCATGGAAAAGTCAGGTGTAATGGTATGTCTCTGTGACTCCAGGGATGAGGTTGGAGACTGGCATATTCCAATCTAACTGAAATGGCAATCTCCAGGTTCAGCGAGAGACTGTCTCAAAAAAGAAGATATAGAGCAACGAAAGAGAATACTTTGATGTTGACCTCTGGCCTCCACATATGTATGTCTCACACACACACACACACGCACACACACACACACCAATAGTCTTTAGTGATAAGAAGCAGGGGAAGGAGTTGTCGGGGCAGAGGTAAGAATATGATGGAAACAGGAAGCCATGTTTGGCAAACTTTATATAATAAGGCTCAAGTTGCATTAATTGTTCCGTGGGAATCTTAGTGTTTTCTTAAATTAATTTTACTATTTTGTCAATAAAATAGTACAAACATAAACTTATCCTAATAGTCTCATAAATATATAGTTCCCTATAAAGTAGAAACGTACTTGAAGATGAAATGTAAACAAAATTGCTAAGTGCTGTGTCAGAGTACCTGCACTGCAATAGATGTTATGAATTTGCCCAAACTAAATCTTCAGTTCTGGTTTCAATGGTAAAAACATGTGGCTTTTGTCCAGTTTAGTCAATAGCTTTCTGTACATTGACATCCATAATATTGAAACAGAAAGTATGTGCTGTACTATGTAGAACTGAAAATATCAATGCTTTTGCTACAAGTCCAGGATGATCAGGCCTCATGCATAAGCCAGAGTCTTCTACAAAGTAATTGAGTGCCAGTTTTCATGAGGTGATAACTCAGTAAAGCTGTTCTTAATGTCTGGAATTGCTGTTGCTAGCATTAAGGAAATATGCATTTTATGGAGACCTAATCATATTATTTCTGAAACTGGAAACGTATTATTTCAGTGTTCAATTCACAACTATGTTTATTGTTAATAAATGTGGAGAATTGGTTTGTATGAACTGGGGTCTGGGCAGCAGCATGCCAGTCTGCAGAGTTGCTGCAGATCTCGCTGTTGGAATGTAAGTTGTTTTGAGTCTGCAACCCATACCTCCAATGGCTTCACTGATTCACAAATTCTCCAACCAGTTTATTTATTTGAACAGTTGTGAAACTTTCATTTGTGCTCCATGCTTTTGTGTGAAGCAAATTTGATTTCATTTAATTTTAATTTTTATTTATTTATTTATTTATTTATTTATTTATTTATTTATTTAATTTTTGGCCTTTTTGAGACAGGGTCTCCCTGTAGCCCCAGCTGGCCTGAAACTCACTATGTAGACCAGGCTGGCCTTGATCTCGCAGAGATCTGCCTGCCTCTGCCTCCAGAGTGTTGGGATTAAAGGCATGTGCCACCACGCCCAGCCACAAATTAATTTTAATCACAGAAAATACTAAGCTAAAGTTGGTAATCATTATGTCATTATGGGCCAATGAGTTTTTTAGTTATAAATGAAAATTAGAAAAAGTTAGGAAGAAATCTCTAGAGAAATGAGACAAAGGACTAGGAAGGTGTCAGGAGAGGGTGAGATCAGAGACGGTTGAGAAGAGAATCAGGAAGAGTGTGCACAGCAGTTTCAAAGCTGCAGAGAAGCTTTGGGGACAAGTTTGAAGATCTTCTATGAACATTCTCCAGTGGAAAGGCCATATGTAAAACAGGGCTACAGTGCATCTTGCCAGCTCTTTTTTCTAGAAGCTAGGCCTCCAAGAGGAGAGGAGAGGAGGGCTGGACGCACACATGCGTACATGCACGCACACATGCGCACACACAGACACACATATACACACACACTATTGTACACAGATTTCCCTCCCGCTGTGGGTACTTTGTGAAAGTGTTCAACTCTCTTCATCCTCTCTCTAAACCTTTTGTGACTCACCACACATCTTGGTCTAATTTGGCTTCTATGATGAAAACACAGGTAGAAACAACAGACATTTACTTCTCACTTTCTGAAGGCTAGGAAGTCCAAGATCACGGGGCTGGCATGTTTGGTGTCACAGAGTGATAGCCATTGTCTCTGTGACCTCACATGAAGGAAAGGGTGTGGGCTTTCTGGATCTTCTTATAAGGACATTAATCCTATTGATAAGGGCTCCACCCTCTAACCTAACCACTTCACAACCATTCCACTTCCTAAAATACCACTTTGGAGTCTAGGATTTCAACATATGGATTTTTTTCCCCACTAATATCAAATGTATATCATGTTGGTTTCCAGGTCTTTCCGTGTGAACAAAAATAAAATTTCCTTTCAGTGCTAAATTGGAAACATAATCTTTAAAAAAAATTATCTATTTATTTTATGTGTATGAGTGTTTTGCCTACATGTATGTAAGTGCATGATTGACCTATTCTGCTCTATGTGCCTCTCTTACTTCAGAGAAAACTGCCAGCTGACTCCAGGGTTCTGGAAACCTCGGATCTGGTGTGCACAGTCAGCGCCCAGGAGTATTGGCAGCAGGCCGTTCTCACCGAGGAAGAAACTGGTAACTTCTGCTTCTCGTCTCAGTCACTAACGTTCTCAAGGCTAAGCTTGGCGTGCTGAGCATCCTACTCTAGAATTTTCTATGCCATAGGAAAGCTTTTTTTCCCCCAGCCTGCTAGTTTCCCTACCTTTTAGCACATGCATATGTACATGTGAATACATGTATGTGGATATACACATATACAATTTTTAAATTTTTGTCTTTCCTGCATTGTTCTGTGCCTAAGGCCAAATTTTACTTCCTCTTTCTCTCCTCCAAATTTGATCAGGAGCTGGCAAAGGTAAAGGCACTGTTTGACTTGCGATTCCTCATCTACCCATTGGGCATAGTTTATGAATGTGTGGAGGTGTGACTCTTTCTTCATAAGGAGGAGCTAATGCTCATTCATGCTAAAAAAAAATGAAAGGGAAAGCTGGACTTGGATGGTGTTGACTGTGGGCATATTTGAAAATTAGAAACCCTTGACCCATGTGCCCCCAAGGGTTCTGTAATAACTTGGTGAGGATCCAAGCTGAGTTTCAATCTGAGCCTGAGAGGGCTAATATCATGCACACATTTAATAGATGTGTACAAATGTGAATGGAGGTTAAGGAGCAGAGGTGTGACATGTTCCCCAAATCAGGAGAACTGCTTGAACAACACGTGTGTATGAGGAATAATACAGAGGACCAAAGAGCTGGGATTCTAAAACAACATTTTCTTCTCAGTACCTCTGTCCAGGCAAAATGTTATTCCTCTCTCTTTTACCTAAATGTTATGATTTTAATTCTTTTATAATCTTTTTGCCCTCTTTTCTCACTTGCTCTGCAGGCAAGAACAAACCCAAAGGAAAGTGTTCGCCCCTTTAGTCAGCCTGCACTTTTCTATTTTGTTAAATAGAGAATGAGATTAATTTTCAGCATTGGTGACGTGCGGCCCATTGCTGTTGACCTTAACGTTAGGAAATGTCCTCAGGTTGCTGGTTCAGTTGGCAGCCATCCCACACCAGATCTCAGCAGTAGCTGGTTCACACCGCCAGCCTGCGCTTTCTATTTTTATGATTTCTATTGTTTAAGTGTCTGGTCTTTTTACATTGTGCTGCTTGTGACTTCCAGAAATCCCCAAGTTAAGAGAATATATTCGGAAAAGGCTCTTGGACAAGAAGAGGAGACTGGTGACCAAGTTCGTCACTGAAGCCTTTGGCCTGTTGCTCCTCACAGACAGTTTCAACTCAACAGAAAACTTGCTGGTAAGAAAGACCCCAAGATTGTCTGTTCTCTCCCTCTTCACCCGTCAGGGCATTCCCTTGATCACACTAGCAAATTAACATATGATTCTTTTTCTTTTTCTATCAATAGAAGATACAAAGCCATGAAAGTCTAAGAGGATAAAAAAAGATAGCAAAAGTATTAGAATCAGAACATTTAGGTAAAAGAGTAAGGGATATTATTTTACCTGATGGAGGTACTGAGAAGAAAATGTCCAAAGAGTTGGACATGATACTCAGCATCCTCTTGAGACAAAACGTGTTTAAATGATGCCTGAGAGAGCTGGTTTTCTTCTAGTGGGCTACTGACAATCCTTGGTGAATTGGAGAAGCAGGTCTATCCTACAATCTTAGACAATGTCCATCTGTCATGGATTTCCTCTGTGCTTGGGCTATCTCAGAATCTCAGAGCAGTGCTATATTCATCAATTTTCTACTACCCAAGAGCCTTATGTGGATCAGCTAGGCTCTGTGTCCAAAGATTCCACAACCTCTCTGGGCAGTGCCACCAGCTGGGGATGAGCAGTTCAAAACGTGAGCCTATGGGGACATTTCCCATTCAAACTGTCAAAGGTGATGTGATGAGAGGAAACTGGAGTGGAAGAGTTTCAGCAAAAACTTGAGACTACAGGCCTTTTGAATGTCCAGTTAAACACGTTTTGACATAAAAATGGACAGATGACTTTTTATTTATTTTTTACCCGAATAGAAGAAGGCTAAGCTGCTCAAGTAGAGGTTTGGGAGACTTGTAAGAAAGGCTCTGGGAGAGGTCATGAGGCTCCTGGAATGGAGAAAGTAGGGCAGAGCCTGATGGGTCGCAAGAGGCAGGGACCAGAGACTCAAGCTTCATGTGAAAATAAGCAAGTCAGCTAGTTGGCCAAATGTCTGCACCTGAAGACTCGGTAAGAGAATGTAGAATCGTATCGACGCTTTAAAAATCCCACTTCTTCGACTTTGCTTTGGCTTAGTTGCACCAGACAAAAACAAAACGAAACTCCTGGAACCTGAGATTTTTCTGACTTGACTCTTGTCTTTTGAAAGAGCTGGGGAAGGGTTTGATCTTCCAACTTCCTGGAAAAGTTCTTCAGGGTGAAATTTGCGTTTATGCCTAACACTAGATTGCTTTTGGAAGTGCTGATGGAAAATGAATTATATGTGGTGCTGTGTGTGGTTGGTTTATTTTATAAACACAAGGACAACATATTTTGGAAGCAAACCAGAAAGTGTCTGTCTCTGCTCTACTTAGCCAAACGCAGAGGTACAGCCCCCCCCCCCCCGCCCCGGCCTCCAAACTTAAGCCATAGGAGACGCAGGGAAGGGAGAAGGGGGCTGATGAGACTGTCATGGATGGAAGTCTGATGGAACTGCAGACACTTTCCTCAGAATTCCTTGGCTTCTGATATTGGGCTTAGTTCTTCGATGGAAAGTTGGAAAACAAGAGTTTTGTCAGTGCCTTTGAATTCTGAAAAAATCAACCCTAAAATGTGTGTATTTCATCTTTTTTTTTCAAGATTGTGTTTCTAACAGAAAGTTTAGATTTTGGGGGTGGTTAGTGATTTTAAATGAACAGTCATCTTTTTTAATAAAAAATTTTCATTGAATTCTTGTGAATGTCAAAATATGTGTTTTGATCGTATTTAGACATTTTCCCTTATCTGCACTCCTTTATTACCTCTTGCCTTATTTCATGCATCTGTTATATATATTAAGGCCTATCAAATCAAATCTGTGTCCCCAGTCACTAGTTTTAAGAATCAACAGGAAGTGTCGACTGAGCCCTGTGTTTGTTCCAGTTTTCCTTTTCTTACTGTTTTTCCTTAAATATATATATCTAGATCTTAACAATAGGGTGCATTCTGGGAAACGCATCATTAGCAGACTTCACTGTTGTGTGATCCTCACAGAGTTTATTTTGACAACAGAGGGCGCAGCATCGACACCTAGGCTACGTCATTACCATCCTGTTATGTCACCGGCACACAGCAGTCTATTGCTAACTGAAACGCCAAAGGTGGTTCCACAATGCACATCTGTGTATATTGTTTCCCATGACTCGACTGTGTTCTGTGAAGCAGGGACCATGACTTTATTTCTTTGGTCCTGTGGCTTTGCTATTCAAAGTGTGACTGAGGGTCCAGAAGATCAGCTCACCTAGGTACTGGCGAGGCATATAGAACCCCAAAGTCAAAAACCATTAAATGTTTGGCAAATCAGATGTCATTAAGAAAAATTTGTCTTTCTTTTTTTAACTTTTTTCTTACATTTTATATTAGCACATAGTAATTATGCACACTAATAGCTTTCATTATAAGATTTTCACACGTATAAAATGTATTTTGATCCTATTCACCCAGTTGCTCTTTACTGCCTTTCTCCCACTGATGCCCTGCAAAGTTTATTTCCATAACAATTGCATTGTTATTTGGTGAGTGAGAGGGAAAGAAACCAGAATACGGAGTTATTTGGGTAGTTACTCCCCAAATAGCCTGATGGATTTTATGCCCAATAAGTTGCAGTAGGCATTAAACATTAAAAAATTTTAATTTTATTTATTATTTTTATTTTATGTGTATGAGTGTACTGCCTGCGTGTATGTGAGTGCACCTGTGCTTATGTTGCGGAGGTCAGAAGAGGGCGTCGGATTCCCCTGGAACTGGAGTTAAGGACAGTTCATAGCTGCTATGTGGGTGCTGGGAATCGAACCCGGGTCCTCTGCAAGGGCAGTCAGTGCTCTTAACTGCTGAGCTGTCTCTCCAGCCCTGGCATTAAACATTTTAAATTTTATTTGTATTTTTTTTATGTGTATGCCTGTTTTGCTGCATGTACATAAATGCACCACATGTGTGCAATGTCCAGAAGCGGGCGTTGATTCCCCTGAACTAGAGTTATGGACAAGTGTGACCCACCATGTGGGTGCTGGGAACTGAACCTGGGTTCCCTACAAGAGCAGCCAGTGCTCTTAACCTCTGAGCCATCTCTCTAGTTCCTGCAATAGGCATTTTTGTTCCTAGTTTCTATCCTAAGAAACTCAAGGTGGTTTGTGACCAAGGTGCTCTCTGTGGACAGTAAAGAGTAGCTAACTCCAGGTGAATTGCACACCAAAGCTTGCGCTAGTGCCAGGTTTCTTTCATGGGCACAAAGTTTAAGGAGATGGTACCTTGAGAGAATCTGATGCTCCCTGTGGCCTGTTTCCCTAGAATGAGCACTTGAATGCCAGTGGCCTGCGGCGATTTGTAGAGGAAAGGGCAGAGCTGTTGGAGAAGGGTATTGAGCAGTGCTTTGCCCACATGGAGCGGCCTCTGCAGGAAGGGGTCCAGGTGGCCAGGGCTTCCTACCGACGCATCCTGAGCACATGCCTGGTGGTGAGTAGCCCTCTTCAGGGAAAGCCTGTGCTATTCACCAAGGCCAGCTTGATCTTCAAATGCCTTTCTCATTATCCCCTTATTTCCTATAAAGTGTTAGAAGAAAGTTGGGTGTGGGGGCTCGCACTCAGAGAGATTGCTATGAGTTTCAGGCTAGCCTGGGCTCTGAGGTGAGTTCCAGGCCAGTCTGGCAGACTGAATAAAACAAACAAAAGAGCAAGGACAACAGGGAAAGATTGAAGATTTCATGTAGAAAAGTCATGAACTGGAAACTGCTCACCTGTGCCTTGTGGGGAGACGTAAGTGTCTGATTAAACAAAGATGTCTGGAATTCAGAGTCCGAGTGTCAGTTCCACTACATGGCTACTTTGGAGCCCTGGGCAAGGCACAAACCATTTAAAGCCTTAAGCCATGTAGAGACTTCAATGCCCTTGAAGTCAGAAGAGGGTATGTAAGCCCCTGGAACTGGAGGTCCAGATGGTTGTTAGCCACCATGTGGTGCTGGGAATCAAACCCAGGCCCTCTGCAAGAGCAGCCAGAACTCTTAACCACTGAGTCATTTCTCTGGCCCTCTGTGTGTTTTGCGTAAGAGCTTGTTTCCATGTCTAGATTGGTAGTATGTCTATGGACTGCAGTTGAACAACAGGGATGTCAGAGGTGTAAGACAAAGAGCAAACGCTAATATATAATATTATGCACACTATATGCATCAGATCCCCTGGGGTTGGAGTAATAGGCAATTGTGAGCTGCCTGACAAGGATGCTGGGAACTGAGCTCCAATCCCTTTTAAGAGCAGCAAGTATCTTTAACCCCCGAGCCATCTCTCCAGTTTGATTAAGGCTTCTTTTTAAAAAATATTTTATTTATTATTTTTATTTTATGTGTATGAGTGTATTGCTTGCATGTTTGTAAGTGCACCCCTATTGTAAATACCTGTGGAGGTTAGAAGATTGCACTGGATCCCCTGGAACTGGAGTTACGGACATTTGTTAGCTGCCATATGGGTAATGGGACTTGTACCCAAGACCTCTACAAGAGCAGTCAGCGCTCTTAACTGCTGAGCCATCTCTCCAGCCCCCTGATTAAGGCCTCTTACAGCTCTAACTATATAATATTTTCCTCTCTTATTTCTGAATTTATTTCCCTGGGAAAGATATCAAAGTTATATAAATCAAATTATGTTTCATTAAATATTTAACAAAATGTGTATAAAATCTGGATTCCCTTCAGGAAATCTAAAACATAGACTTACTGTCAGGTCATAGTACATTTTCATTCATTCACAATTGCTAATTTACAGCCAGCTGTCAATCATAACTTGAGTCATTGACATGGAGAACATAAGGATGGGCGAAACATTGGGCCCCATCTCAACAAGCTGATGTTCTAGCAATAGATAGAGACCAAAAAGTGATGACATTAACAAATTAAAAATTGTCTGCAAAGGTTTACCGTTACTTTTCTCATTGCTGTGACAAAATCTATAGAAAAGCAATGTAAGGAAGAAGGGTTTCTTTTGGCCCACAGTGTGAGGCTGCAGTCCATCGTGGCAGGGAAGATGTGGCAGCAGAAGTATGAGGCAGCTCATCACAGTGTGTCCTCGGTCAGGAAGCAGAGAGATGAATGCTGGTGTTTCACTCGCTCTCTCTTTTGTATTCACCTGGAACCCCAGCCCACGGAGGGTGCTGCCCACATTTAGAGTTGATCTTCCCACCTCAATTTACTTAATCTAGAAACGTCCTCACAGACATGCTCAGTTTTATATCCTAAGAGATTTTTTTTTTTATCTTATCAAATTGACAATACTAACCGTCACCAAAAGGTTGTGATTAACAAGAGCCCCAGGCATTTTGGAAGCCCAGGGCAGGGGCTCCCAGGCAACCTGGAGACCTGGATGAGATTGATCTATGCTCTCTGGTTAAATAGCATATTTAAAGACCATGTTGTATCTCCATCCACTCTGTGATTCTTCGTAATGGCCTTTGGCCAATGAAAATGAAGTTTGATCTCATGACTTTCTAGTTAATTCCTACTAACTTGCTAATTTGTTGTTTAATTGTCTAGAGAAGTAAAGGAAATCAAGGTTTTCATCAGACCCTGAAAGCTGTTTGCCTTAAAAATGGTGTCTACGCCTCCAGGACTTTGGCTAGGATTGACCTGAATGAAGCCATCTCCCAGCCTATCTATGACCAGATCGACCCTGTGTTTGGAGGCATTTTTAGGTAAAGAACCTTTCATTTGGCTCCTTTGTGAACAAACATCTGTGGGACATCAAGCCAGAGTCTCAGATTTAGAATTTATTTTTTGCATCTGGAAGCATACAGAGTAGCAGGTTACTTGAGAAGAAAAGCTTAGCTCCTGGCAAGACACAAAAGCCTTCTTGGTTTGGTTTACTTAAAGATTTCCCATGGTGACCTGGAGTACATATGGAGATGTTGCTTTCAGACTAATATTTTGATTCCCATTATTCTTCAAATAGCTCCTACATGCAGGGGGGTATCCGTTTTTTTAGGGATCTGAGCTGCAGGACAGGGTATTTTGGTTGGAGAGTGTGGGATGAGGCAGCCACAAGGCCTTCAGAACTCTCTGAGTGCAAAAAAAAGTGGCTTGCTGAGGATGCCAGCTGCTTCTGACTCGTGCATGCTCCGGACGTGGCATGAGTTGGGGGCAGGGTCCCAGCTCTGTGCCCACTCCTTTTCTCCTTCCTTGACCTTCACCTCTGCCCCCATCAACAGGAAGAGGTTCTCCTAATCTCCAGTGCAGCTGCCTGTCCCAGACACTCTCCCGCCTTAACATCGTCCTCAGGGTCCCCATTCTTTACTCTCCTTTCCTTTAACACACTGACTCCCACCCCACCCTCTTGACCACTGTAGGAAAACTACAGTCTTTAGAGTTCAGGGCAGCCCACCTTCTCCAACTTCCTGCTCTCACTCTTGGAGCCAGTCTGGCAGGAAGCAAAGAGCAACGCAATGTCCCCAGAATCACCAAATGCTCCTGGCGACTCTACAGAGTAGTTTCGGTCTATTTACACATGAACAAGCAGATCCAGAACTGTGCTGCTTTCTCGGGTGTTACCAGTTCATAAATAGAGGTCCAGGATTCCAAGTCCAGGCTTTCTGCTTTGTAACCTGCTGCCTCTCACTCCTCAGATACTCTGAAACTTTAGTCTGTCTTCTTCAACTTCCCCTCCATTTCCCTTCCTTAAAGTTCACCCTTCTCTGAAGAAACGGTTCAAGTCCTACCCTTAGCAGTGAGCAGTTGACACTGGCAGTTGACAGTGAGCTTTGAGGTGGAAGCAGTGTCTGGAGCCTGGCCCTGTCTCTTGGTAGCTGTGTGACCTTGGGTATGCCAGGCATCTCTGAACCTTGATTTTTTTCACCTGTAAAATGGGCATTATCTTACTGACTGTATAGATCTTAAGGTCAAAGTTCTGGAACAGCTCAGTGTCTGGCATATTATAGGAATCTGATAACTGTTACTGCTCATCGTTTTTTTCTTAAAGCGAGTCAAAGGACACTGGCTAGTTTCATGCCTTAGCTCCACAATAACCACCATTGTCTCTTAACCCTTTATATCGTTTTCTTCCACAGGGATGGGAAGCAAGCTGGCCCTGCTTTGATGCTGTACATAGATGCTTTCAAGCACTCCCTGGAGGAGAGAATGGCACAAATTGGGATAAGAAATGGTTGGATATACGATGGGTACAAGAAAAGCTTCCTGATCCAGGAGGTAAGTTCTTTAGAAATCAAGAAAGGCAGAGAGATAAGTCATGTCTTCTCACTTCCCCCTGGGGTGTCTGAGTCTGGGTGCACCCTTGGAGGTCCTGTGAAACATGAGACACATTAAGAGGAGGATGAGAGAAGAGGTCCCCGTTCCACCATGGAGCGTAGGCACCGAGTTGAGCTTTGTCCCATAGTGAAGCAGCTTAAAACATCCAAGGTGGTGAAGTTAAGATTCCAGAATACTAAAATGTACAAAAATCCTGTGAGAACATTGTCACTACTGCCTCCATTTCTGCTGGGACTATGATGTAGTGTCAACACAGTCAGCCCTTGCTTTGGTCGGGGTGTGTGTGTGTGGCTCAGGTCACTGGTTAGTCTTGAGGACTCAAAGATCTTGTCTGTGACTCTTCTTTCTCCCAGGGCTAATCAAAGCTCATGGCAATGCTAGGAACTAAGATGGACCCCTGGTCTGTCAAAGACCTTGCCCAGGATGACGCTCAACTCAGCACATGTGTACTGAATGGCTTGTAGGATCCAGACATTGTGGGTTATAAAGTCCTGTGGTGTGTAAAGACGCTCGGGACAGAGTTCCTGTCTACGATGTGCTCACAGCTAAACTGTAGAGATGTCATATAGAAAGCTATGACAAATTCCTGACAAAATCAGCTTTAGGAAAAAGGGCTGTATCTTGGTTCACAGTTCAAGGGTGCAGTCTATTACTGAGGGGATGTCACAGAGATGGGGACTTGAAGCTGCTGGTTGCACTGCATCCACAGTCAGGAAACAGAGTGATGAATACAGGTGGTCATCAGCTTGCTCTCTCCTTTTTGTGTAGTCTGGGGTCACAGCCCACTGAGTGGTGCTATCTACACTAAGTGAGGTTTTCCTACCTCACTTTATATAACCTCTCACAGAAGTGCCCAGAAGCTTGTCTGCTTGGTGATCCTAGATTCCATCAACTTGACAGTATCAATCGTCACAATAGCCAAGCATAGCATGAGGCAGAGGGATGGGATGGCCCACATGGGCAGACCCGAGGGCCTCTGCTAAAGGAACCATCCTACATGACCTCGTGTTGACATGGTTTCTCAGATAAGCTCCATCCTGGGAGGCCTGGAGGGCCACATCCTCCGAAGGAAGAGAAGGATCTACGAGTCTGTCACCATCTCCATCCAGAACGACTTGAAGCCTTGTTATGAAGGTGGGCTCCAGGGGAGGCACTTCCTCTTCCTGGTCTTCTGGGGTCTTCCTGTCACTCTGTCAGCTTACTCTTCGGCTGTCCCCCTCTCCAAGAATCCGTCCTCCCAAACCTAATCCTTATGACACTCTCAACCTACATGTCAAGACAGCTGTAGGATGTGGAGAGAGGGAATTGAGGGGCCTCCTTATCTGTGTGCTGCCAGCACCCCATGCTGTAGTGTTTCCAGCACCCCATGTTGTAGTGTTTCCAGCACCCCATCCTGTAGCGTAGTACCAACTTCTACTCATACCTCCTCTAAATGCTCTTGGATCTACTTTCAGCTCCTTCTTGAATTTGTTTTAGGGAGTGATTTTGTAATGTGCTGAATTCACTCACTAGGTTTGATGAATGGCAGTTAGTCTAACTGTTGGGTGTTTAAAAAATATTTTATTTATTATTTTTATTTTATGTGTATGAGTGTATTGCCTGCATGCATGTAAGTGCACCTGTGTCATGCAATGCCCACAGAGGTCAGCAGAGGGCATCAGATCCCCTGGAACTGGAGTTTTGGACACTTGTTAACTGCCATGTGGGTGCTGGGAATTGAACCTGGGTCCTCTGCAAGAACAGCCAGTGCTCTTAATGGCTGAGCCATCTCTCTAGTCCCGAGTGTTATTTTTATGTAAGCATCTAAATGCATGTGTATGCATGCACATACAGATGTGCGTGTATCTTTTTGCTTGCTTGCATGCTTGTTTTTCCTTCTGATGCCATGGGTCTCTCGGCAGGTCCTGGCTGTGATGTGACTGTGGCTATCATTTTTGTCAGATGCAGCTCAGATCACTGGCAGAAAAGCATGTGAGAGAATGAAGGATGCCATCAGAAGAGGAGTGGAGCGACAGGTGGCCGAGGGCATGTTTGAAAGGGCTCAAGAGAGGATGCAGCACCAGTTCCGGCAACTGAAGGTACTCTGCACCTGCAGTGGATCCCAGTTCCAGGGAGAGGGAGTCAGGGACCTGGTACAGGGGATGGAAGAAATCATAGGCTTCTGGGCCCAAGGGAGACCTGAATGCCTTCTGCCCACTGGGGCCAGCCAGTGCCCAGAGTGCTCGGTATTCTTCCCTGTCACCAAGCACTGGTGTTGGCTACCCTGTGGGGCTATGACTTTAGAAATGCAACTCCTGCAGCTCTCTCCTGTCTCCTTCCTTTCTACTGAGTCATCATAGAACAAGGGCTGCAGCATCTAGGTGAGTGCCCATCTCCTTGCATGTATTCACTCACTGAATCCCAGCAAGTCTGGAAAGTGAGTGCCTTCCATGCATAAACAAACTCAGGCAGACAGAAATGAGCTGAGAGGCCACACAGCTGTGGAGAGGCAGAGCTAGCGTTCAGGACCAGGAGACCTGGTACCAGTATCTCCAGCGGTAGCGCAGTATAAAGTTATATTGCTTTTTAAATAAAGAAAATGCCTCAGCTACATAAAACGTTCATAAATAAATGTTGGCACATAATCATAAGTCAGTCAGTGATAGAACTCAGCACAGATTTAGGCTTAAGCTCAGAAATAATTCCCAAGAGTCCTGTTGGACCTAAGTATTGTGTGAAGTGTGCTTGGACCATCTTGTTTGGTTCTGGGTCTCTTAGCTTGGCACCTTCTCTCTCCCAAGTGGTAGAAAGCCTTCATCTTAGTCTCCCTAGCCTCTCCCTGGTCTTATGATACTCCAGTGTCTTCTGTCACAGTTTAGGCTCAGCTGATGCTGTCCCAACCAGAGAAGCTAGCTAGAGGTGGCAACTGTGTACTAGCCTTCCTGAGATATCCCAAACTGCCCAACCCCCACCTGTCTCAATTTTAGAAAACTCCCATTTCTGTTGTACAAAACAGGGAACTTTCCTTAGAGTAAGGGCTGTCTTTTATCAGCAGCTGCTCCTGTTCAGTCAGTGAACATACATGTGGGAAACTGTCCAAACTGCAGAGCTGATCTCCACTGAGGACACAGAAATCTGACATAAGGTGCTCAAGCATACAGTGGGATAGTACACTGACCATGTGCAGATATAGCTTGAATCACAGTGGGATAGTACACTGACCATGTGAAGATATAGCTTGAATCACAGTGGGATAGTACACTGACCATGTGAAGATATAGCTTGAATCACAGAAATGTAGATAGTCAAAAGTGACCAGGATTATTATGTGCTTCTGTTCCTTGATCTTTTTAAAAAAATTAAGAGTGCTGGATGCGGTGGTACATGCCTTTAATCCCAGCCCTCAGGAGGCAGAGACAGATGGATCTCTGTGAGACTGAGAGTACCTGGTCTATAATGAGTTCAGCTAAGACTACGGGGAGACCCTGTCTCAAAAAATACATATATAAAAGAATACCAGACAACTTTTAATTATTTAATTATTTTATTTCTAAATAATGAATGGAATTTATTTTTTGTACAAAATGTTAGCTTTATTATAATATTTTCACACATGTATTAATCTTTAATTTGATCTGAACCAGAAACCTTGATCCCAATGATCTGAATACGAATCCCTCCCTATTCTCCCTTCCCTCTCTGTTCCTATTGCTGTCTTCCTCTTCTGGCCTCTCGATACTTGCCCCATGTTCTACTTTATGCCCCTGCATCAATTGGCTCTTCAGGGTAAGGATTGATTTATAGTAATTCTTTTGTCCCAAAGTCCCACACGGTGTCCCCAGTTAAGAAGGGACTCATGTTTGGGGACTAAAATTCTCCTGGAGGGAGCCAAAAGGTACAAAGTGACTCTTGTTCCTGTGGTCATGTGAGCTCAGTGCGTGTTTATGTTGTCCTATCTGCTCTGCATGGACTGGTTCCATGTTCTGAATGACAGGCGGGCAGGTCTCATGATGACACAGGTCCCTGGCCCAATGGTGTGGGCCATTGGTACATTCCTTCCCTCTTTCCTCATTCAGTTCGCAGAGCTGATAGTGATGGGGAATGGGGTTACATTAGGCTGAGCTAGAGCTTCAGAACTACCCAGCACAATCTGCTCCTTTCATATGAAATGGATCCTTGGTTGTGATCATTAAGATTGATGGTCAAGTTGACAGTGTCTAGAATTACCTAGAAGATAAACCTCTGGGCATGTGTGAGAAAATTTCTACATCGTATTGAGGAGGGACCACCCACCTTGATTGTGGAAGGCACCATTCCATGGACTGGGGTCTCAGTATGAATAAAAAAGATGAAGTGAGTGGAGGATACATTGTAACCAGTTTCTTCAAGCTCCTGCTGCGTAATGGATGGTATCTTACCTTAAAATCTCCTAAACCAGGAGCCAAAAGAAGCCCTTCAACCCTTAAATTGCTTTTGTTAGATATTTTGTCATAGCAATGAGAAAAGTAATCAATACACTGGTGATTGGTCCAATAGTAGATTAGGAATTTTTTCTTCCTTCCTTCCTTGAATGGAATTTCTTTTTATACACATTTAGTGTTTCAGGAGTGTTAAGAACTGACCTCTGGGCTAGCAAGATGCTTAACAGTCATCTCTTCAGCCCCCATTTTTAACTGTCTACATTTCTGTGATTTAAGATCCATCTGCACATGGTCAGTGTACTAGTTCCTTTTTAGTGGCACCAAACCTGACGACTTGAGTTCAATTCCTTAAGACCTACACGTCGGGAAAAGAGAACTCATTTCTGCAAGTTGTCCTCTGACAGCCACGTGTGCCCTTCCACCTATAAATGAATAAATAAAAATAATTAAAAATAAAACAAACTGATATTTTCACAATGTTCTTTCAAGTTGAAGAATGGAAGACTATTTTGCTGAATTTATTGATCAGTCTTTAATACACTGATCATTTCTGTGGCTTGCTGATCTGTCTTCATTCTGTAGTGAGGTGACTACTTCTGGTTTTAGGAACTGTGTCTCTCCCACTCCCTGATCTTATAGACAAGGATGATGGAGTCAAGCAAGCTTAATTTACTATCCTGAGGCAAGGGTGTTGGTCTGGCATTGAAGAAAAAGTATAAGGTTAGGAAGTCATTATATACAGCTTCAAAACTAGAATCCACCAGTCTAGAGAAAAGAGTCTGGCTTTACGAAAGGAGGTAAGAAACAGAAGAGGTAAGAAAATAGCTTTAGGTGATCAAAGGATTGAGAGCGGCAAGGAAACATTTCTCAGGCCTTTGGGAGGAAGGGTCAGTCCAGTCAAACAAGGTGTGCTACGTAGAGTGGGGCCAAGACTCTCGCAGGGAAGGATTGTGGGGAGACTCTACCTCCGCCTTACTTCTAGATTCAGTTTGCCACCACTAGAGGGCAGTCCGCCATGTGTCTTCACAGGCAGATGTGAAGATGCAGAGGCAGGTGGGAGTCCACGGGCAGGAAGAAAGGTACACTCCCAAGTACTTTATTCTGGACCTCACTTTGACCTTGGACAACCTCCAGCTGGGGAACTCACTTTTCCTTAGGCGCATCCTCCTAATGGATCTAATGTCCTTGTCACGCAGCATGGAATCATTGAGAAGGTGAAGGCCAGCATCGCCACCATGTTGACCCTTGCTTCGTCTCAGAGTGATGGTCTCTGCAAGGAGCTTGCAGGTGAATACTTAAAAACCTTTGCATGGAGGGCAGTTGTGTCCTCCTGGGTTGTGGTTGCGCCTAACTGAATTTAAAGATAGCAAGGTAGGAGGGACTTCTAGAACAAGTAATAGAGATGATGATCATGATTCCGCTCATCACCCAACAGAGACCAAGTGTTATGCTTGGACTTTATGGATGCTGTTGCATGAAACTCTCCCATCGGTCCTCAGAGATAGATGTTGTTGCTCCATTTTACAGATGTAGAAATAAAGACTCAGACTGGGTTACGTGCCCATTTCCATAGCTGGCGAGTGGTAGATTGCAATCTGCAGTCCTGCCCTGCTGTCTCCATAAGTCTTTCTTCCAAGCTGGTGCTGCCTTAGAAAAGTCCCTATTTCCTGTCTTTTCTAAAAAGATTCTCTGGGCATCCCTGGGTAAGCAGCTCTACCTCTTTTCCTGCCAGGAGCTCCGCTGAGCTGACTGGTATCAACTGGAGGCAGTGGTAATGTGAAGAGAAAAGCAACAGGGAAATTTTTAGCAAAAATGTGCCTCTTCTTTGGCTCGGCATCCTATGAATCTAGGACCTCACACATGGGTAAAATGGCACATGGACAAGGTTATTTGAGTAACACTACTTATTATATCACCAATTGGAACAGCTTAAATATCTATTATGAGAGCACTGGTAAGTTAGATACATGGTTGATAGAGGTTGTGCAACTGCTGAAAAGCATGAAACACCTCTAACCAGGATACTTTAACCAGCAGTGTGAACTCACCTCCAGCATGTATTGGAAAGAAGGAAAAGCACAGTGAGAAAGTGTGCACAGCATGTGGCCATCTGTGAATGAAGTTTCCATGGGGACTCAAGTGTTAAGATTATAGTCACCTTTAAGGAACTCCTACTTGCTGAAGGTCTTCCAGTGGTCCAGACCTTGAGAACAGAGGGTACTGCCCTAAGTTTGCTCCAAGTTGTTCCTGCCTAGTTCAAGCATTTAAGCCTCCCTCCTCCCAACAACAAATGACACTGTGCAAAGAGCTAAGGTTATAAAGAGGGCCAAACAGCAGCCAGGACATTCAGGTGTTGCCTGCTTGGTCAGAAGGGAACTCCCTGAACTGGAGAATATGTATTCTTTTTTTTGAGAGTATGTGTTGTTTGCACTCACCAGTTGATTAAGGTCCCTTCCCAGGGCCCTGGGGCATCCAAGGTGCTGACATAAGGCAGTAACCATGAAGTCTTGAAGAAGCCCTGCCCAGAGCTCTCAGCCCAGTGTGAGAGACAGGTAGTAGCACCCCAGCAAGAGCAACATGTGGTGGGGGAGGGGAGCAAGGAGGTCCTCATAAGGAATGCGAAAAGTAAGTGGAGACCTGAGGGAGGAGCCCACTCTTGGGGCAGGTGGTTATTCTAGCAGTTGAGGAGACAGAAGTTGTTCAGGGCTGGATACTGGGAAAGTTGTGCATTAACTACATCCCAGAGGTAGCTTTGAAGGGTGGATAGGTGGGATTGAAGAGGCAGTGAGGAGGAAAAGTCCTTCCAGATGTGCAGCCAGACAGAAACCTCGGGTTCTAACTCCCTTCCTGGTTACAGATCCCATGGCAGGCCAGGCTCAGAGCAAGCTCACCCAGGTCGCCATCTAGCCGGAGCCAGCTCCAAGGTTGAAGTGTCCTCCCCAAGGTTACTCTGTTGCTCAGAGTTCTCTAGAAAAACAGAACCCATAGACTCTGAGTAGATATATAGAGGTCTATTTGGGGAATTGGCTCATTCATTTGGGAAGTAAGGCGCATCAAAAATCTGAAGGAGGGGGCCAGCAGGTTAGAGACTCTGGAAAGAGCTGCAGCTGGAGTCCAAAGGTGGTCTCTGCAGACCAGGAGCACTGGTGGTGCAGGTGAAGGCTGAGGGCAATCAGCTGATGAATCTCTTTTTACTCACGAGAAGCAGAGCTGACCTGACCCGACGTGACAGGACAGGCTCACTACATTAAGGAGAGACAGCGACTTTATTCAGGGTCCACTGATTTAAAACTAGCCCTCATCCTCACACAACGTTCAGACTAAGTCTGACAAACGTCTGGGTGCCATGCTTAGACAAATTTCCATAAAATTAACCGTCATAACCAAGTGTGATGACACACGCATGCAATCTTAGCACTTGGGAGGCTGAGGCAGGAGGATTGCCTGGTCTTCATAGTGATATCCTGTCTCAAAATGAAAAAAGTAAAACAAATAACCACAAAACAAATAAAAAAAAAAACAAAAGCAAACAAAAATAACCCATAGTGAGAGTGTCATTGGAATACAGATTGGAAAAATGAAAGTCTGAGATGCCCAAAGACAATAAATCCACTGAGAACGGAGACTGGGCAAAGGTGGGGGCTGGAGCTGCGCCGCCTGGAGGGGACTTGGGTGGATCCTACCCCGTGCTGAGCTGCATTGTATCTCTTTGCACCAAGCTTTGAGGAGACTGAGTGAAGACCCAGAGGGCTCCCAGGGCTTTAGAAAGAGATTTTATTTTTATCATTTTTAATTATGTATGTGTGTGCGTGTCTACAGGTGAGTATGTATACATGAGTACAGGTGCCCTCAGAGGCCAGAGCATGCTATGAGATTCTCCTGAGTTGGAGTTACAGACAGTTGTGAGCAGGGCCTGATATGGGTGCTGTGAACTGAGTTTGGGTCCTCCTCAAGAGCAATAAGCATTCATAACCACTGAGCATCTCTCCAGCCTCACAGGGATTTTAAGGGTGGGCTTGCCATTGTTTTGAGGGTGTCTTCCCATGCTGAGACAAATCTTCAGGTAGCAAAGATAATGCCTGGTCAGATTTGGGATCTTTATAAAACAAGGAGATGGGGTTATCTGATCTCCAACACCATTGTAGATTTTACAGTCTTTTTAAAAAATTATTAATTTCTTTTATTTCTTGTGTATGAATGTTTTGTTTCATGTATTTAAGGGCCCCACAAGCATGCAGTGCCCATACAGGCCAGAAGAGGGTGTCAGACTGCCTGGAACTGGAATTAGAGATGATTGTTAGCCAGCCTGTGATTGCTGGGAACCAAATCCCGGTCCTCTGCAAGAGCAGCCAGTGCTCTTAGCCACTAGGCCATCTCTCTAGCCTCAAGATCTTACATTCTTATAAGTGACAGGATTGCTGAGGGATTCATTTCCTGGACTCAGTTCTGAAGTAGACGCTAACTGCAGGCGCTTGCTCTCTGCCCCTCTGTAGATGTCAGGAATGAATACAAGGAGATGGAAAAGCTCCACAGAAGCCTGAGAGAGGTCGCTGAGAATGCACAGCTGCGGCGCGGCATGCAAGATTTCCTCCTGGGAATGTCCCCCAGCAAAGCAGGTCCCCCCAGAACTGAACTTTAGTTCTTGGGGCTTAGCCCCAAGGCAATGAAATTAAGCTTGGCTGTTTGTTGAAATAGAATAAAAAACATTTCTCAACTCTTGGACCTTCTATATAAAATCATTATTTCTAGTATAATTTTATTTTACATCTAAAAAGTCATCCACAATCCTGAGTGGAGCTTTTAAGCTCTAAAGACAAGAAACTTAGGCTCCACTGAAGACAAGCATTGAAAAGTTTAGACATTATGCAAGAAGTTGGAAAATTCAGCCTCAAGTGTCCAGTTTCATTTCTCATTTTAGTGATGATGAGATTTTGCAAAGAAGGTGGTGTTAGCCCATAGAAATCAACCTAAGATTGGTGTTTTAGTTACTTTTCTGTGGCTGTGATTTAAAATATACCCTGGACAAAGCAAGGGAGAACTTAAGAAAGGGAGAATTCCCTTGGGCTTGAGTTTGAGGCTGCAGTCCATCATGGCGGGGACATCATGGTGGAAGAGGTGGGAAGCAACTGGTCACATTGCATCCACAACAGGAAGCAGAGAGATGAGTGCCGGTGCTCAGTTTCCTTTCTCCCCTTCGGCCTAGGACTCCAGTCCATGAAATGGTGCCTCCCACATTTAGGGTGAGTCTTTCCACCTCAAATAACCTAATCAAGAAAAATCCCTCTAAGACCTGTGTTCCTTAACCCCACACTTTACAGGACCTTATATAAAGCTTTGTTAGGGCTGGAGATGTACCTCAGTGGTAGAGCACTTACCGGCCTAGCATGTCTGGGGCCTTGAGTTTAACTCCCAAAAGTACATTGTTTATATCTATCTATCTATCTATCTATCTATCTATCTATCTATCTATCTATCTATCTATCTATCTATCATCGGTGGAGATAGAGATAGATACAGATAGTTACTGTATGTAATTAAAACCATGGAATACTTAATATCTTTATATGAATTCATTTAAAAGAAGAAAAACAAACTCATCATATTAACATAAACAACACATTTTTCATGATGAAACTATTTTCCAAAAACCAGTTAACAAGAAGAGTGCCGTGGCTTTGCACTTTTACATCACTCTATTCACTGACTAAGCAGAGGCAGCTGAACTCATATCTGTTCCAGATATAAAAGTTTGGTTGGTGCTTATGAAGAAAATTCAGTTTCACATAGCCAGATACATAACTAGAATACAGAGAACAATTTTTAATAGCCATTTTAGCTAATTATTGGATAATCTTCAATACCGCAATCGTGAAGAATGGGAGTTTTTTTTAATTATTATTTTTATTTTTTGTGTATGAGTGTATTGCCTGCATGTGTGTAAGTCATGAAATGCCCACAGAGGTCAAAAGAAGGCGTCGGATCCCCTGGAACTGGAGTTGGGTGGTTGTTAGCTGCCATGTGGGTGCTGGGATTCGAACCTGGGTCCTCTGAAAGAGCAGTCAGTGCTCTTAACTGCTGAGCCATCTCTCCAGCCCCAAGAATGAAGTTTCTTAAAGGTTTGTGACTGTAGAATCTGGAATCGTATCACTTACAAACCCTATTATATTAAAATCTATTGTTTTGTTTTAACTTTAAAAAATAGGCTCCTTTTTATTTATTTTTTTGAGAAACACAGCATTTCTCCTGCCTCAGCCTCCTAAGTGCTGGGATTACAGGTGTACACTATCATGTCTGGCTTATATTTTGAATGAATATTTTTAAATCAGTTCATGCTTTCATAGCACCAAGCTTTCTGGAAATATTTGTTCACTGGGTTAAGCAGATATTCTAAGTGTTGACTCATTGTACATGATCACAAAATCATATTTATTAATAGTGTCAGTAATGCTATCTGGAAAGGCTTAAAAGTATTGGGAAACTGTCAAGCTCACAGTAGTGAATACAGATTTAATGTAATTTCAGCCTTCCCCTAAAAGTTCCCGTCCCCATTGGCCACAAATACTGTTAGTTGCTTTCTTTGAGGTGAAAGTTTCATTTTTAAGAAAATGTCTACTGTATAATCACATGTGATCAACCACAGTTTGGCTGCTAGTTATTTCAAGTGAAGATGGAGTTTATGAAAAAAGTATCAAATTCAGTTTGCAACTCAGTTACAAAGTGCTTTTCTCGGAAGCAGCAGAAATGTGTTAAGTCTGTTTCCAGTTGGTAAGGGTCAATAATTAGCAGAATTAATAAGTTTCACTGTTACATTAAGAAATGTTTCATTGGGGCTGGAGAGATGGCTCAGCAGTTAAGAACACTGGCTGTTCTTGCAGAAGACCTGGGTTCAAATCCCAGCACCCACATGGCAGCTAACAACTGTCCATAACTCCAGTTCCAGGGGATCCGACAGCTTCTTCTGTCCTCTGCAGGCATTGCACGACACGGGTGCACTTACCTACGTGCAGGCAATACACACATACACTTAAAAAAATAATAAATACAATATTTTTTTAAAAAAGAAATGTTTCATTTGAAACTGGCTTGTTAGATGCACGCTCATGATAGTGAAAGATACAGCAGTGTAAGGTAGCTTGGTGTTACAGCCTTGGTTGCTGCTCAGCCGTGCGCCCTTCTGCTCACATCTGCTTGTTCTGCTTGTTGTACGTCTGCTTGTTGGTGCAAACACTGACGTGACAGAAAAGCCAAATGCTCTCTTTCCTCCCTTTGTTACTTAAACATGTTACAAATAGAGTCACATAATATTGTA